AAACTAGATATCATATATGCCGGATATCGTCATATAAACTAGATATCATCATATAAAGTAGATATTGTCATATACACTAGATATCGTTACATAAAGTAGATATTGTCATTTAAACTGAATATCTTTACAAAGCTTTACAATGGAGTGAGTTTTGTTTTACGCCGTTTTTAGCAATATGAGGGCGGGGGACAACAGAAATGGTCTTCACACAATGTATCCATGTGGGGAATCGAACCCGGGCCTTCAGCGTGACGAACGAACGCTTTAACCACTAGGCTACCCCATCGCCTCTTTTACAATGGAGAAATATTGAAAATATCTGACAATGTAACAATATGAACAATGTAGGACAATACAGACATGATATAAAAATGAGGCCAATATGGGCAATTTTAAATTCCCCTGACTCTCCCTGGGGAGCAACATTAAACAAGTACATATGTACCGGAACCTGGCTCTTAGACCCTTCTGTACGAAACACAAGCTGCTGTCGTGCTGTGTCGCCGTCGTCGTTGTTCTTGCTTCAGTGCACCACAGTCACTTTAAACTATCAGCGCTCAGATGCAGAAATCCACGTGTAAAAGGATAAACACATTCATGTATGAAATAAACTCTTTGTTGTGCGATGATGGAGACCATGCAGGAATCTCTCCACAATGCATCTTCTGAAGTATACCGGCGGTTGCGGTAAAATCGTTATTTTGAACAAATGCAATTTAGTTTATTGTTTGTGGAAAACGAAACTGCATCAATATTCTGACAGACGTTGAATGAAACACGTATAAATCGAACATTAAGTGTAGACAAATCGAAGTCGACGTCAATAATCGATATATCAAGTGATAACATTGCATGACCTGCGATAACGTCTTATGCAATGAGTGTCATTCCATGCCAGTCATTGTCGGGTCCATATTGGAGAAATTAGGGGTAGAACAGGTTTCCGAGTTAACTCTGCTTGTGTTAATAGGTAATTAACAATTTTGTGTTAATAGGTCGCCAGAAAAATATGGTTGTCAAAGGAGGTAGCCAGAAACAGATGCTTATCTGTTTTTGTTTGTTTGTTGTTTATGCCCAGTTATAATAATAATTCCAGCTACTATCACGGCTGTCTGTAAATAATCGAGTCTGGATCCAGTGATCAACAGCATGAGCATTAAGCACAACTTAAATAGGTATCCGGTAAGACAAGTGTGCCTCAAAGGCAGCTTGGGTTATCCGGGGTCATAATAATCAGATTCTGATTACAGCGTCCAGTGAACAACAAGTTAGATGGATATTAGGCGCTTTATAAATGAACTATTATTATTATTATTATTATTATTATTATTATTATTATTATTATAACTTGATACTGTGGTGTGCAATTAACCAAGACACGTTCCAGGGGACATATTATCTCATCCAAAATCCCCTCGGGTCCCATACTGGCTTCAGGGCGTTGACTTCTATCATTTGGATTATAACAGAATATACTTACATGCGAAAGAAAGTGTACACCATGTTTGATGACGAAGAAACAAAGAGTCTTTTCAATGGCGAAATATTTGCGTTTTGGATCATAGTTGTGTTTTGGATAAGCTGGCAGTGTTTCGGCAAATGTTCCCAGCCTAGAACGTTTTGTAACCTTTGGGCACATCCGGTTTTCAAGTGTATACTTTCTTTTGTCTGTCAGTTTATATCTTAACGGTAATCATGTTCGAAATAAGTGAGTGAGTGAGTTGGGTTTTACGCCGCTTTTAGCAATATTCCAGCAATAACTCGGCGGTGGACACCAGATGTAGGGAATCGAACCCGGGTCTTCGGCGTGACGAGCGAACGCTTACCGCTAGGCTACCCCCACTGTCCCTCGGAATATGTGACTGAAGGAAATGGAATAGGGTAGCGGTGTGGGGTTGTTTTGTATTTTTCATCGCAATGCCCCTTTTGCTGTAAACACGGTCATCCTGGCCTGCTTTAGGTGTAGAATGCTGGCTGTCAACGTTTATATTTTTTATAAATATGAACATGGTATTATTTTTCGCGAATCCTTGTTCAAAACACTCACACGAATGAAACAAACTTGGTTGATGGCACTGCGTGTTGCATACAATGCTCACCATGACAACGGTAACAACATCAGCGTACTTAACTGTGACATGCCCACGGAGGGCGCTCTGTATCGCCGGGCTGCATCCCAGGGGCAAATGTCACTGGCATGTCAACAACGGGCATACAATAGAAAACAGTTAATATTTAACAACTTTAAGAGACTGGTTGTAATTCACACCGTACCTGACTCCCACGATTGCTGCTTGTTTCTTGTAGTTTTGTTGACTGTTTAGGCCACTGAAGTTGTCATTGGTGTTACGGCGTTTTGATAAACAAGTGATTGTTTGTGATCAGGTGAAAGTTGGGATATGCAAAATGTAAATTTCATTAATCATGGGACATGCATCCTCAATTATTCAATTAAACGTGTAACCGTCGGCACCTTGCAAGGGGGTTTCAAGGGGGGTAATTATGGAATGTTGCTGGGATAGTTTAGCAGAAATGTATATCGGCTTCGCAAAGGCAGTAAAATGGGTTTAAGGGGGAAACCAAGTTAGAAGTAGTTAGATTCTCCGCGGTAACCACGGGGGGTCACGGAGGTAACCAATGTTTACGGTAAGTAGTTAGATTCTCCGCTGGAAATACTTGGATTGTCCAAGAGCCAAGGGGTGTCACTGAGGTAACCAATGGTGTCACGGAGGTAACCAATGTTTACGGTAACTAAGGTTATTCAACCTGGAAATACTTGGATTGTCCAAGGTAACCAAGGGGTGTCACTGAGGTAACCAATGGTGTCACGGAGGTAACCAATGTTTACGGTAACTAAGGTTATTCAACCTGGAAATACTTGGATGGTCCGAGGTAACCAAGGGGTGACACTGAGGTAACCAAGGTGTACGGTAGCTAAGGTTATTCAATCTCTTAGTAACTGGATTAACGGGGTAACTAAGGGGTGTCATCGAGGTAAGCAATTGCTATGGCAACTAACTATTCTAATAAGAATAATCGGTAACTATGCATGGTCCCTTTAGGGACGTGAGCGTTTTGGGACCCAGGGTCAGTTTTCAGAGTGTTGCAAAAATCAGTGTCTCCCTAGGGTACATAATGGTGTCAGGGTAGGATTTTCGTAAGGGTGCCTGCGTGGTGTAGTGGTTAGAGCGTCCGCCCGCAGAGCGGAAGGTCGCGGGTTCGATCCCCGACCGCGTCATACCAAAAGACGTTAAAATATGGTACTTGTTGGTCCCTGCCTGGCGCTCGGCATTAATGGGTACAACAAGGACTGGTCGGCTCGGAGTCAGTATAATGTGTCTGAGTGGGGTAGTCATGCTTAACTGCGGCATGGTATCTCAGTGGGCTAGCACTATAAAACCAGCTTCAGTCTGGGCTAGTACAATCAGACGCACATACACATACACAAGCATGCACGTCGTCATATGAGCGAAATATTCTCAAGCACGACGTTAAACCCAATTTCACCTCACCTTTTCGTAACTGCAAAGTCACAGGCGTTAAGTGCAGGGCTTTGATATCGGAACAAGGGCGTTTGGGTAGCCTAATGGTTAAAGCGTTCGCTCGCCACGCCGAAGACCCAGGTTCGATTCCTACATGGGTACAATGTGTGAAGCCCATTTCTGGTGTCTTCCTCCGTGATATTTGAGCTGGAATATTGCTGAAAGCGGCGTAAATCCATACTCACTCATCGGAACACTTAATTCATTGCCCCCTATCTTGGCAACAACACAACAGAGAAATCGACAATTGGAGACGAATCATTTCAGTGAAGTTTAGAGGGTGACCATTACGGCCGAAGATAGCTGTTAGATTGCTCAAATTTACAGTATGACAACCTGCCCTTTATGTAACAGGGGTGAATAGAATAAATATCACTTTTTACTTGTATCGTCTCCTTTTAGTACAACTAAAATCAAATGATTTCAAAAACCATGTATCACCAATATGAAAATGCATACATAACAAATCACACCATCGTGCTTGTTAAGTTGAACATGCTAATAAATGAAGGATGAATATAATTATGATTGTTGCCACTACAATACGTGTAAATTGATGTTCGTGCAATGTATATGAGCGGATGGCCTTCACGGTAATCGATTGATTGATTATTTGCCTAACTACATTGGAGCCTTCTTTAAGAACAATGAAACCTAACTGTAAGATCATCGCCATCATCATAATCATCATCATCACCAGAACTATAATGATAACCTACATGTCATTGAATGACATACTTATTCAGCAACATCTTGGAGCCGTACGGATTTACAGAACTAGTGGGGACTTGAAACAGTTCAGTGATGCAGAAATCGGCTGATATATTATTTGGTTTATGCCCCAGGTGTTTTCTGCTTCAATGCACTCTATCACGTGATAGAGTGTCGGGCAAAAAAAGTATATACTTGAAATAAAAAGCGATAAAAACAGTTGCCGAAACATTACGAACTAGAGGCCTAAAACATACTATGATACTCGTATCAGACACACCACGACCGAATGACTATCTCCTATTTGTTTCATTTTAGCCACAATCAAATATGGGTGTATGTTTCTTTCCTAGCAGTTCATCATTAAAAACACCCCCGAGTTCCACTCAATCAACTCACTCAATACAGTTTTAATTCAAAATAACACTAACAGAATCATGTAACATAAACAGGACAAAATAAATATTTACTTTTTGTTTGTTCGGATATTACACAAGATAGTTAATTGTTAGTGCTCGTCTCTAGAGAACATCGATCTGCAATCAGAATTCGACACCGTCAATAACGTTATCCAAACGTAAATCCTCCAACGTTTAATGATGTACAGTGTGGTGGTGCATTCACTGAGTGAGACTCGCACCTGTGACTTCCCAGGGATGTGCCGGGAGATGTCGCTTCCTTGTTGACAGAATCAATACCCCCTCGCCATCATCACATAATAAACAAAATGACAAAACGCTGAGCCGGCATCCTTGGAACCATCGACCATTACTCAGTAACGCCACGACGTGAACACCGCACTACACGGCTTTTGTGCTACATCGTCGAACACTGTGACTAATACTTGAGAACACAATGTATCTTGAAGCACTGTTTGACCATCAGCCATAATCTATTATCGACTGGAGTTGTGTTGTAACCTAATTTACACAAACGTATTTTAGACCTTTTTTCGCAAGAGACATCCTTGAAATTTGAAAAGTGATCCTGTTTAAGTTTGTAGTGGTGAGTTTTTGTTTTTGCTTGCTTTTTATCTGTTACTTTTCTTGTTTGGTTTTGGTTGTTGTAGGAACGTTAGGCAAGTCAATAACTTATAATCTTTAACGGAGGTACTTAATGTTTGAATGTTAGTTTTGGTGGATGTCTTTTTAATGTAGTATTTTGTGTTGTTGGTATTGTTGTCTGGGTTTGGAGTTGGTTTTTTCCTTTGTTTTGTTTGGTTGGTTTTGCTTGTTTTGTTTTGTTGTATGTTTGGGTTGTTGTCGGGTTGTTTTTTTGTGTTTTGTTTTGTTTTGTTTTTTTGTTGTTGTGTTTTGGGGGGTAGTGTGTATCTTTTTTCTTTTTTTTTTTGGGGGTGAGGTGTGTGATTGTTTTGTTTGATATTGGTTTTGTTGGGTTATATATATGTATATATAGACATACATACATACATACATACATACATACATACATACATATACATACATACATACATACATACATACATACATACATACATACATACATATATATATACATACATACATACATATATATATATATACATTTATAGAGCGCTAGAATCCAGCAGAAGCTGCTCAAAAGCGCATCAGTTCCAGGAAAACACTTCAAGCAATAGTTATAGATTGAATGCTTCCCTCTATAATTGAGGCTTTAGCTGGGCCTTGAAAGTGGATAGCTGTTGTTCTGATCTTAGGTGAGGGGGTAATCTGTTCCAGAGAACTGGACCTGCTTTACCAGAAGATCTATCTCCAAACATCCAAACGCCGTGATATATCCAAACATCAAGTAGATTCTGTTCAACTGATCTTAACTGATGGACTGTTGATAGGTTTCTATCATGCTGGACAGATATGATGGAGCAAGACCCTTCAGATATTTGAATACAAGAACGAGGATCTTGTATTGGATTCTGTGGTGGACAGGAAGCCAATCCCACTTCGCTGTTCTAGTGATGATTCTTGCAGCTGTATTTTGTGCTTTTTGGAGCCTATTTATGAGTTGTTCTGGAAGGCCATATAGCAGCGAGTTACAATAGTCTATCCTGGATGTAACATAGGCTTGGACTAGAGCTCGTGTGGTATCCACATCAAGGTACCTCCTTATCAGACCAATATTTCTAATGTGGTGGTATGAACTCTCGCAGACAGAGTTGATATGGGTCTCTAACCTGAGTAACGCGTCAAAGACAACCCCCAGATTCCTGGCATGTGGACTTCTGGGTATTGTGTGTTCGCCAATTTTGAACTGTGGCAGATGGATCCTTGTCATGGTTTGCTTAGGGCAGATGACCAACAACTTTGTTTTATCATCGTTCAATTTCAGAAAGTTTGATGTCATCCAGTGCTTGTGTGCTCTGGCAATGTCACCAGTTGGTAGCGTGTATATAGTGAACAGGATCGGCCCAAGAACAGACCCCTGTGAAACACCATAAAGTAGATCTGTCTTCTGTGAGTTTACACCACCGATGCTTACAACCTGTGATCTATTTGACAAGTACGTTCGGATCCATTCCAAGGCTGAACCCTGGACACCGATCCGGTTATCCAGCACATTAAGAAGAAGGGTTGGGGTGGTTGTTTTGGTTTCATATTCACAAACGGTGATTCTCGTGCATTTAGAGAACACTCAGGAAGATGCAAAGATATTCCCCACTGTTCATCTATGTCATGTTTCACTTTGAACAGTCTCTTTCCGTCATATTATTTACGTTCTTCGTACGTTGTGTTGCAGCTTGAGATGGACAACGCGCAGATTTTAAGGAACCACGCCCTCTTTCAGAAGAGCTGGACCAACTGGCCTTGTGATCATGGACTCCCCTCGCTGTCCAGCGGGTCACGGACCTCCAAGGCCACGGGGTCAGATTCACTGGACATGTCCCTTGCTACCAGTTCCAAGTCCGGTAACTCGCAGCCTCGATTTCGAACGGTCAGTATGCTTCACAATGCTATCTAGATGTAGCGAAACAGGCCACCGTCATTTAAACTCGCCGTTACACAATAGTTCATCATGGAGGTTGTAAAAGCTGACGAACTGAGGATCGGGTGGACATAATGGGCTCCCTTGTTGACCCGTTGACCTCGTGTCGATGTTCATATAAACCACTGCACAAAGCATAATAGAACTACGTTTATTGTTACTCTGATAACGGCGGTGGGGTAGCCTAGTGTTTAAAGTGTTCGCTTGAAGACCCGGGTTCTATTCCAAACATGGGCGCGACATGGTGTCCACCGCCATGATATTGTTGGAATATTGCTAAAGGCGGCATAATACCTTACTTGCTGTAACTCCGATACTTTAACATAGACTTTGGGCACACTTGCGGGTTGGTGTGAGGATAAATCAACTAGGAAGATACAACAGTTCTCAGTAAAGTGTTATAATACATATAATGGTGGGGCATTGTTAGATTGAACTCGCTTTGAACGGTATAGGGCCCGTAAGTAGATCACGGCTCTTCGCGAGACCTCAGTGCTCCTTGTAACAAACAACGTACACTTGGTCCGGTCAAAGTAAAGTCCTATTAATTGGCAGTCGTTCAATTTGGAACCAGAACTGGTTCTTGAATATACGCTTGTCACCGGAAATCTGATACCGGAAGTAAGCTGGGCCCCGTCTCTCATGTCGCGAGTTGACGCGCAAAAGGAGCCGGGAACCAGCTTAGTACTGGGAGTCGTGCCTATTTCGTTTAAATCAGGGTGTGGAAGCATCTGTAGCTGATGCAGGTATTTGATGTTACCAACCACTGTGATAACACCAACGAGCACGGATACGATGATGACAAACCGGGAGTTAGTTGACCGGGATTCGAACTCAAGACCAAAGGGGCCGCCTCCGTGGTGTAGTGGTTAGAGCGTCCGCCCGGAATGCGGAAGGTCGCGGGTTCGATCCCCGACCGCGTCAAGATATGGTATTTGTTGGTCCCTGCCTGGCGCTCGGCATTAATGGGTACAACAAGGACTGGTCGGCTCGGAGTCAGTATAATGTGTCTGAGTGGGGTATTCATGCTTCACTGCGACATGGTATCTCAGTGGGCTAGCACTATAAAACCAGCTTAAGTCTGGGCTAGTACAAGCAGCCGCACATACACATACACACGCATGCACGTCGTCATATGAGCGAAATATTCTCAAGCACAACGTTAAACCCAATTTCACCTCACCTTACCTCACCTCACGACCAAGGGACGCAACAATGTAAACGGATCAAACGGATTCCACAGCAACCTAACTTAAATGTTTTAATTTCTTTCAGAAAGTTCCAAACTAGCAAGGAATATCATGTTTATTTTTGGTACATTGGTTTTGGCGTCTTAATGCCATGGAATTGTTTGCCAGTGGGCAAAAGGTCGATTCCCTGGCCGCGTCATATTAAAGACAGGTAAATATAGTACTCTGTGTTACCTCGGCATGAAATGGAGACAAGGACTAACCATCTCGGTCAAAGCAATCAAACACACACGCGCGCATGTCTTTATAGGTGCAGGAAACAACGTGAAACCCCATTTCATCTTCAATGTTCGGAGCAATTTACCAATGAAAGTTGTTTGTACGTTTAAGTTTGTGAAACTTTCTTGAATCCTTCACAGTTGATTCAGAAGTCATGTATTTCCAACTTATTTTCCGATGTTGCAGTAAATATCCTCTGTTTTCAGAACCGCGTCGTGTCAACATCAGCGTTCTCCAAGTCCGCCACAAGTTCCCTCACTGCCAGCAACAACAGCGTCGTAGCCAAGGGCAACCAGGTGTTGGCGGACAGACGGGAGAAGAGAGCAACAAGACGCAAGCCCTGGACTGAAGACGTCCCGAAAATAGAGTCAAATAACAACACCTATGTCGGTAAGCCGGAGTGAGTGAGTGAGTGGAAGGGTGGGCGTGTGAGTGAGTGAGTGAGGGAGGGCGTTGGAAAAAGGACACGGGGTGTTTTCCGTTTATATGGTATGAGAGTATTGATGACAATATGGAAGACGTATGAATTTCGTGTTGAATTGACGTGGTGAGGTGGGAAGATGTATGAATGGCGCGTTGAATTGACATGGCTAAGGTGGGAAGATCTGGGCCTAGATTTTCGAAGCTCTCTTAGCGCTAAGATAGTTGTAAGTTAATGTTAATGTATGGTACTTACGACTATCTTAGCGCTAAGATAGTCTTAAGTTAATGTTAATGTATGGCACTTACGACTTTCTTAGAGCTAAGAGAGCTTCGAAAATCTAGGCCCTGTGAATGGCGTGTTGAATGGCTGGGGGTGAGGTGGGAAGATGTATGAATGGTGAGTTGAATTGACGTGGCGAGGTGGGAAGATGTATGAATGGTGAGTTGAATTGACGTGGCGAGGTGGGAAGATGTATGAATGGCGTGTTGAATTGACATGGCGAGGTGGGAAGATGTATGAATGGTGAGTTGAATTGACATGGCGAGGTGGGAAGATGTATGAATGGTGAGTTGAATTGACTTGGTGAGGTGGGAAGATGTATGAATGGGGCGCGTTGAATTGACGTGGCGAGGTGGGAAGATGTATGAATGGCGTGTTGAATGGCTTGGGGTGAGGTGGGAAGATGAATGAATGTCGTGTTGAATTGACATGGGTGAGTTGGGACGATGTGTGAATGACGTGTCGAATGGACATGGGTGAGTTGGGTAGATGTATGAATGACGTGTTGAATGGACATGGGTGAGTTGTAAAGATGTATGAATGACGTGTTGAATGGAAATTGTTGAGTTGGGAAAATGTGTGAATGGTGTGCTAAATTGATATGGTGAGGTGAGAAGAGTATGAATGGCGTTTTGAATTGACGTGGGTGATGTGGGAAGATGTATGAATGGTGAGTTGAATTGACGTGGCGAGGTGGGAAGATGTATGAATGGCGCGTTGAATTGACGTGGCGAGGTGGGAAGATGTATGAATGGCGTGTTGAATTGACATGGCGAGGTGGGAAGATGTATGAATGGTGAGTTGAATTGACATGGCGAGGTGGGAAGATGTATGAATGGTGAGTTGAATTGACTTGGTGAGGTGGGAAGATGTATGAATGGGGCGCGTTGAATTGACGTGGCGAGGTGGGAAGATGTATGAATGGCGTGTTGAATGGACATGGGTGAGTTGTAAAGATGTATGAATGACGTGTTGAATTGACGTGGGTGAGGTGGGAAGAGTATGAATATCGTGTTGAACTGACGTGGGTGAGGTGGGGAGATGTATGAATGGCGTGTTGAACTGACGTGTTGAGGTGGGAAGATGTATGAATGACGTGTTGAACTGACGTGGTGAGGTGGGAAGATGTATGAATGGCGTGTTGAACTGACGTGGAGGATATGAGGAGGAAGCATTAATGTCATTATAAGTAAACGTCGGTATTATGAGAAAAAGGAAACATCTCCTCACACAATAACACGTGGCAGAGAGGAACTCAACAAATCCTGAAACGTTATTTTTGACAGAAGCCAGCATTTGATGTTGCCTCCGTCCTGCCCTCACCGCACAGATCACAAGGGGGACACATTTATATCTTCACGACACGTAACAAAGGGCCTTTCATTAAACAAACATGCACTCCACATTCACAACAATGTATGTCATCAAGGAAACATCAATCAACATCCGATCAAAGCTACAGAAAGCCTCAGCACAACACATAAAAATTCAAATTCAACTCAATAGTCTGTGGAAGTCAGAAATCGATGTCCAATAGTATTTGCCATCAACTATGCATGGTCGTCAGCATCTGTATGCTACGTAAAGTAACTTAGTAACTGTCCTAAAGTACCTTAGTAACTGTCCTAAAGTACCTTAGTAACTGAACCTTTACCCTTCTTGTACTGTGAAGGGTAAAGGCTCAAAGTACAAAGTACTGTGACTATGTGTCCCAGTCCACCCAGCTGTGAATGGGTACCTCGTTAGGATGAGAAGGCCACAATAACTTGGTGCGCCTAGTGGCTGCAAGAGTTGTATCATCCCCAGGGAGTTGAGATTGATAACACGATGTGCCGTTGAGACTGACATCCAATGATCGAGAGGAAAAAAACCCAGCGCCTTGAGCAAGCACTAGGTGCCTGGATATGTGCGCTATATAAATATCATATAATAATAATAATAATAATAATAATAATAATAGTTGTACCTTGGAATATTAAATCAGTCAACTAGACTCTTCAGGGTACTAAGAGTGATCGGAATCTCTATGGGACTGAAGGTTGCTTCCAGAAAACTATCGTAAAGTTAAGGTGGTCTTAGGCTTCCGTGCTTTACCATGGGCGTACGCTGCGCTCGCCAAGTCTGGCAGCTCTGCTTCCCTGACGACTATTTTAGGAACGGGGTTCTAGTCTGTCACACCGTCCCTGAACCATATCATAACCCCTTCCTGGTGGGACTTTTGTAATGCAAATGTCATCTTTCATCTCACTGGGGCTCATTTTTTATAGAAATGAAGTTTTAGGGACCCGCCGTTTGATATTCTAGAGGAATGGATTTGGATGCGAGCTGTGTGGGGAATCATATGGAGATAAGAAATATTTTATATCAGCGTTTCAAAACACGCATTGTTTTCTGTGAAAGCAGAAGCTGATCAGTTTACCGAATTTTCACGCTACACCTTTTCAGACATCCAACAAATAATTATTTTCTTTTTGTTAAAACAACAAATCATTTCCTTAAAAAATATCCAATTCCCTTCGTGGGTTTACATTGTGCTCAGTGCTTTAATGCTCGTGCTTGTTATTATAGGACGATCATGAATTAATTATGAAATAAATTACATTTCTTTATTCATAAGCCTGTGTCAGTTATTGGTTCTTCTGAATCTCTAAGGATTATATGTGAGTTAATCACTTAAGCTGTCACGAGTTTTAATCCCGGAGATTAGATTTAATTTCTTAACATCAAATATACATTATTTTGTGATTCGGAACGACAAGTCGATAGGAAAATCTTTGTCAACGGGACGGTTAATTTGTTAATTGTTTTCGGTTAGTAGTTTCTCTGAAGAGGGTTTGTCATTGCATTTTGTGTATGGGATGGTCAATACGGCACATTGATCATCGGGACAATGCTTGACCTGTGATGGACAAATGGACTCATAGGGTCACCCAACCTGCACATGCTTATGTCAAGGATTTCCGTTTTGATGTTGCTTGGAAATATTGTTTGTGAGGGGTGATGGGGAGAAAACGACTCTTATCATCATAATTTTATATTGATTCATGGTCAAAATCTTACAATAGGATGTGCTTTTAGCAGAGAATTGTGATGAGTATGGAAAGGCTTTTATCGCTCTTATTTCAATGGCGTTTAATCGGATTTGAGTTGAGAAACAAGTGAGTGAGTGAGGTTTTATGCCGCTTTTAGCAATATTCCAGCAATATCACGTAGGGGACACCAGAAATGGTCTTCACACACGTGGGAAATCGAACCCGGGCCTTCCGTGTGACGAGAGAACGCTTTAACCACTGGCCTACCCTTCAACACTTTAACCACTAGCCTACCCTTTAACGCTTTAACCACTAGCCTACCCTTTAACGCTTTAACCACTAGCCTACCCTTTAACGCTCTAACCACTAGGTTCCCCTTTAAAGGTCACATAAACCCTAGGGGGTACAAATACATAAATCACTAACTGGCATCGTTATAAATGAAACCCCGTCATTAAAACTACTCATTTCGACCTTTAATTGACTTAAATCGACCTTTTTGACAACAGTGCACAATTCTCACCCGCGAACGAAATTTCAACCAATCAGAGCGGCGCGCCTCTGTGACGTCATATGAGGAATAGCTTTGAGGGACGATGCAGAATTCATCTACATTTTAGGGGGTAAATTATCGTGTTTACAGGCTTGTATAAACCTGAAATCGTGACAATTGTTGTGGAAAATGAAAGCTATATGTTCTCACAATCTACTGTCATTTAATTTTGTCTCCTGCTTTGCCTAGTTTCCGAGTTACAACTTGTTTTCATAGACGATTCTGTCAAAATCGATTGGTGTCGTTAGGCCCTATTTGTATAATGACTGATCCAAATTGATCCCATTTCTGTGTTGTTTTACCTCGATATTTTATCATGTCATGTAAAAATCTGTTTGTATTCTCAAAACAGTGTCGGCCGATAAGTTTTCACATGCAATACAGCAATTAATACTCCCTCGTTGTAACCCGTGTTAGGTGGTATAAACCTACACATGTTATTTGTCATCATTCACTTGATGGTCAGTTAATGAATTTATAACAGGTATAATTAGTGGTAACACACTTAGATTACCCGACAAAGGTTCCCATTTGGCATTTCTTGTGTCTGGAGTAAATATTCAACATTATAAACATCGATCAAAGGATTAACCGATAACACGCTTATTGATTAACTACTTTTATCTTACACAGCGGAATTGTCAAAAGGTAGTGTTTATGTATGTAGATTTACTAATCTATACTGAATACACTCTGTCGTGTCGGTGTCTGCGTAAAAACAACGTCCTTCTTTCAAAGGATTAACCGGCAATACATTGATTGATTGCCCATTATTGGCTAACTAAATTACTGTTTTTAAAGAAAGGCGGACATTATGCAATTAGTTGCCAGGTGTGCTATCTTGGGTGACCAATGAGACTATACACCAATACCTGAAAAGATTTATCACTTTTTCGTATATTAAACTGTTAAAAGACACATCATTTGGAACAGTTTTGTGGATATTGATGGATATATTCCTCGAACAAGGTAATGGCCTGATATTGTTCCTATAACTTTAATCTGTTTTAATTTTAATATTTGCATTTTTGTTTTATTCATTTGTCGTAGCATTCAACAGAATCATTGTTTTCGCCGTGAAGTGTAATGAGACAGACAACATGCACTAGGGTGTGTGTGCGAATTATGATTCACATTGGCAAACTATAAAATGTCTAGATATTACAGTTCTGTTATAAATTCACTATAAGTATCAGCAGATCGTCTGCTTTTATTTAGTTTCAAAATGCATACAAGTGTGATAATAAACTAATTAGGATTATAAGACCAAATATAAAGACGAACATTGACTAGTATCTACATACTGGTGAGTGGACATTAACCATGGGAATGTAGCAAGAAATTTATCGCGCAGTATTGTGACTTCGACCCCCACCTCGCTTCCGTGGAAGAAATCGTTATGTTATAAGTTGTGTCATGCAAAATCCGTTTGGTTATGATTCCAATACATATTTAACAACGAGTAGAAAGTAGTCTTGATTTTCTAACTTGATGAAAACAAACTATAATCTCATTAATTCTAACAGATTTTGTTATTTTTAAAAATGGCGGCGCCCTGTCGGGAACATCCGCCAGTCTGCGGATAAATGGTATTTAGGTTTGTTTTCACCGAGTTACAAAATCAAAACTACTTTCTACTGGTAGTAAAATATGTATTTTATTGATGGCCAATAGCGTATATCATAACAATTTCTCTCGTGGCAGCGAGGTGGGTGTCAATATTATACTACTTACAAAATTATTGTTACTTCGACCACAACCTCACTTCCGAGGAAGAAATCGTTATGTTACAAGTTGTGTCATAGAAAATCTTTATGGTCATCAATCATATGCATATTTTACTACAACTAGTAAGTAGTTTTGATTCTTTAACTTCCGTGAAGCGATCTGAACACAAGTAAGATATCGTTTCAGGCTTCCACAACGCTCGCTTCGCACTCACAAACATAACCCATTTAGCACGAACTGCGGGGTCCTGTGGAAATCTGTGCATGGGCACACCATCGCCCGACCCCTAGGAGCAATTGACGACAAAGCAACGATTCGGCATATGGTCGTTGATGTCGAGAAATCATCAAAATGATGAGCGTGCTACACATTTTCTATACAACTAACTGAAAATCGTTCCTCATATGACGTCACTGCAGTGCTCTGGCGACAGAGTTACGTAACCTGTCTGTGGTTTCGTTGGCGGGCGAGAGGGAAGCAGGCGACTTTTTGGCCACTTTTAATCGCTCGGTATTAATTAACCACAAGTTTTTAAAGAATAAATTTGGTGTTCCGCATAAGTCTAACCACAAATCTTTCATATGTAATGGTTAAAAGAGTAACAAAAAACAAAGTTTAGTGGTTCTTTAACGCTTTAACCACTAGCCTACCCTTTAACGCTTTACCCACTAGCCTACCCTTTAACGCTTTAACCACTAGCCTACCCTTTAACGCTTTAACCACTAGCCTACCTTTTAACGCTTTAACCACTAGCCTACCCTTTAACGCTTTAACCACTAGCCTACCCTTTAACGCTCTAACCACTAGGCTACCTTTTAACGCTTTAACCACTAGCCTACCCTTTAACGTTTTAACCACTAGCCTACCCTTTAACGCTTTAACCACTAGGCTACCCTTTAACGCTTTAACCACTAGCCTACCCTTTAACCACTAGCCTAGCCTTTAACGCTTTAACCACTAGCCTACCCTTTAACGTTTTAACCACTAGCCTACCCTTTAACGCTTTAACCACTAGCCTACCCTTTAACGCTTTAACCACTAGCCTACCCTTTAACGTTTTAACCACTAGCCTACCCTTTAACGCTTTAACCACTAGCCTACCCTTTAACGCTCTAACCACTAGGCTACCCTTTAACGCTTTAACCACTAGGCTACCCTTTAACGCTTTAACCACTAGCCTACCCTTTAACGTTTTAACCACTAGCCTACCCTTTAACGCTTTAACCACTAGCCTACCCTTTAACGCTTTAACCACTAGCCTACCCTTTAACGCTTTAACCACTAGCCTAGCCTTTAACGCTTTAACCACTAGCCTACCCTTTAACGTTTTAACCACTAGCCTACCCTTTAACGCTTTAACCACTAGCCTAGCCTTTAACGCTTTAACCACTAGCCTACCCTTTAACGCTTTAACCACTAGCCTACGCTTTAACGCTTTAACCACTAGCCTACCCTTTAACGCTTTAACCATTAGCCTACCCTTTAACGCTTTAACCAGTAGCCTAGCCTTTAACGCTTTAACAACTAGCATACCCTTTAACGCTTTAACCACTAGCCTACCCTTTAACGCTTTAACCACTAGCCTACCCTTTACCGCTTTAACCACTAGCCTACCCTTTAACGCTTTAACCACTAACCTACCCTTTAACACTTTAACCACCGCCCTGGGAATCTGCTGCCTTCGCATATGAAAGGAAATGGTTTGATTGAATGTGACTGGTTTATATAAAACAACTCAGCCAAGAATGGTTGCCCTCACTGACCTTCACTAACATTATGATGTTACATACGCTCTTTTCGTACAGGCAGTTTGTTAACCTAGTGGTTACAGCGCTCGTTATGCTTACAACTTGAAGCCTATTTGTTGAATATTGGTAACACAAACCCTCATTTACTGACTAATGTAAACCTAAGACTCAACCTCAGAATATACCCGTGTAAATGAAGACTTAACCTTAGAATATACCCGTGTAAATGAAGACTTAACCTTAGAATATACCCGTGTAAATGAAGACTTAACCTTGGTATATACCCGTGTAAATGAAGACTAAACATTAGAATGTACCCGTGTAAATGAAGACTAAACATTAGAATATACCCGTGTAAATGAAGACTAAACATTAGAATGTACCCGTGTAAATGAAGACTAAACATTAGAATATACCCGTGTAAATGAAGACTAAACATTAGAATGTACCCGTGTAAATGAAGACTAAACTTTAGAATATACCCCCTGTAAATGAAGAACCTTAGAATGTACCCGTGTAAATGAAGACTAAACATTAGAATGTACCCGTGTAAATGAAGACTAAACCTTAGAATGTACCTGTGTAGATGAAGACTAAACCTTAGAATATACCAGAAATCCAGCACTTGGAAATCCAGCCGTATAGTTCAGACACTACGTTTTCGCTTTTGATTACGGAACGTCTATCTGCCCAAACTTTGATTGAGTAACTAACACCTACGTTTGCAGGCTGCAGAGTAACACATCAGTCTTGTCGCCTCATCACCTGGTGTTCGCACCTGTGTGTGTCACATGATTAGTTACGTTCCTGATTACAAAAGCATCACATATTGATTTCGTCTCTGTTACCTTTGCATTTGTGGGTTATGCCATGGTCTGTAGAAATAGCTATATGATGACGAGGGTGATAATGACCACCAACGGTGAGTGTGAATAAGCGATTAAGGTTTTGCGCCGATTTTAGCAATATTTCAGCCATACAACGGCGGGGGACACCTAAAACGAGCTTCACATATTGTACCCATGTGGGAATCTTCCGCGTGACGAGCTCCCCTCTCCCCGAGATCGTGTGTTCTGATTCTCCTCTTGTACAAAATACATCGTTAGTCCAAACCTCTTTAGTGTGCCACCACTGCTTCACACAACACACACACACACACACACACACACACACAACACCACACACACACACACACACACACAGAGCACTCGCATACACAGAGCACTCGCATACACAGAGAGCCACACAACACAACGCACACTCACGAACACACAACAGACACACACATATACACACAAGACACAAAACACACACACACACATACTCAATACACATACATGCACACACAACACTCATGCACGCACAGACATACACATAACACCACACACACAACGCACGCACACACACACTCACATTTATAAACACAAAACACACATGCACACACACAACACACACAGGCATACACAGACACACAATCACTCTCTCTCACACACACACATGCACGCACATTCAACACACACACACACACGTCGCTAAATCAGCGCAGTGATCTTCACCACGTTTGACTTCACCTCAACTAACCTCACTTCACCATACCTCACCTCACCTCACCTCACCTCAATTTATATTCAATATATTTTGTGAATTCGATTTTATGCCGGTAACATCCAACAATGTCCGCCTGCAGCATGACTACACTCAAAGACTTAGCTACCTGCATTGTACACAGCCAGGATACCGTATCATGTCGGTTAGCATGACGTGAAAACTATAACTACAAGACCGTCTCGCTTGTTTTGAATAATACTGTAGCTTAGCTCATGTGATCCCTGGAGAACACCGTGAACATCTCCAGCAAATCCGTAACCCTTGATGCGTTTCATACAATATCAGTACATGTCGCTACAAGTTATATTGGTAGATCTATCAATCAATTTCTCGTTGTTTTATATTCTTCAGAAATCCACTATGAGAAGGCACTCCCTAAGGGCAAATGGATGGAGTTTAGACAGAGGCAGTACGTGGCCAACCCCAAATATGGGCATCTGTACGAAGTCAGGTAGGTTACCAAGGGATCAACCATTTCATATTCTTCGATTGGAGGTGGAGGCAGCATTTCTTCAAAATAGGTGATGGAAAACAGAAAATACTAAAAAGACGATTTTCGTGTAAATATCGGAGATTTCCTCTATTAAAGGGAAAAACAATTTGATCGGTTCCTTCTTTGACAGGAAAAACATGTTTGATATAGGAACCGACAAAAGTTCTGTTTGTAATGTTAACTGTCCATAGCTCATAGAACAGAATGAATGAGTATGTTTTAGTGGTTTTAGCAATGTTGCTGACATATCATGGACTTGACACATGTTAACAATGTAGGGAATCAGTACGACGAGGGGACGATATTAACCATTAGGCTACTTTACACCGCTTAGAAGAGGAGGCGGTGGGGTAGCCTAGTGGTTAAAGTGTTCACCCGTCACTCCGAAGACCCGGGTTCGATTCCCCACATAGGTACAATGTGTGAAGCCCATTTCTGGGGTCCCCCGCCGTGATATTGTTGGAATATTGCTGAAAGCGGCGTAAAACTTCACTCACTCACTCATAGAACAGAGGCCGGGTTGATAACATGAATCTGTGAGATCAGGTATGAAAGTCACAATGGCGCCGCGGATACAGTAACTCATATAGTAGTATAACATTTCGATCAATAGTCCGTGTGGATCCAAGATGGACAAATGATCACACTTCGGCATCAAACAATGTGCTCTTGATTGCCAATCCCTTAATCAACTTCATTTGTGCTTGACAGGACCGACCTGACCCCCCGGAGACAGAGCCCGCCCCCTCCCAGCACGTGGTTATGGGAGGAGGAATACCGTATATGGAGGTTGGAGGAGGCAAGGGAGGGTATCTCTTCCGTGTCAAGGTATGCGTCTAAAAAGGATGTGTTTCGTCCCCTAAAAGTCATTAATAATGTTCTGTAGTGCTCATATAATGATTTATTAATTACATTCTGAGTTAAAATTTGCAAAACTACTTGTAGTTCTTTTCTCCAATCTCCATATTCATTGTGCAATGCACGACAGAAATTCTGACGTCATGATTCCAAAGGACATAACTCTAAATTCTTGTTCGTATCACGTTCAGTTATTTTTCCATGGTATTAAAACGGTAGAAAATTACGAACGTTTTGTATTGCTCTTGTTGTATTATTCTTTCCGCATTACGGGAAAATACATCAAGTCGTAATTAAAGTGTAAAAATTATGATGATTTATTCCCCGTTGTTCAGCTCTCTATCGAAGATAGGCAGTACGACGTCGAGGAAAGGGATGAAGAAAGACAAGGAGAAGCCGCACGCTGATCTGTTCGCGTAAGTCGACATAACTGTCGATTAATATATTTATATATAGTTGAATCCACGACTCGATGCTTGGTCAATGGATCCGTAGTGACTATAATTGACTATTGACCAAACAATATCTTTTACTTGCTTCTTGTGTTTCTGTCCTTTGATTATACATGCGTCTCTACATTGGATCTCTATCCAGTGTGTCTCTGTCTATTGGATCTCTATCCAGTTCGTCTCTGTCTATTGGATCTCTATCCAGTGTGTCTCTGTCTATTGGATCTCTATCCAGTGTGTCTCTGTCTATTGGATCTCTATCCAGTGTGTCTCTGTCTATTGGATCTCTATCCAGTTTGTCTGTGTCTATTGGATCTCTATTCAGTGTGTCTCTGTCTATTGGATCTCTATCCAGTGTGTCTCTGTTTGATCTCTCTCTGTCTATTTGATCTCTATCCAGTTTGTCTATTTGATCTCTATCCAGTTTGTCTGTGTCTACTGGATCTCTATCCAGTGTGTCTCTGTCTATTGGATCTCTATCCAGTGTGTCTCTGTCTATTAAATATCCGCCTAGTGTGTATCTGTCATCTGAATTTCTTCCTGGTATGCTCTTGTATCATGGATATCTGTATATTATGCCTCTCCACTGAATATCTGTCTACTATGTCTCTGCCTATTGAATATCTGTATATTATGTTTCTCCATTGAATATCTGTGTATTATGTCTCTCCATTGAATATCTATCTATTATGTCTCTGCCTATCGCGCGTTTCTGTTGAATATCCGACTAGAGTGTCTCTGTCGATTGCGTCTCTGTCTATTGAATTTCCGTCATGTGTCCCTGTCTGTTAAATATCCGTCTATTGTATCGCTGTCTATTGGATACCTGTTTATTGTGTTTCTGTCTATTGTGTTTCTGTCTATTGTGTCTCTGTCTATTGTGTCTCTGTCTATTGTGTTTGTCCGCTGTGTCGTTGCAGCCAGTACCACGCCTACCGCCTAGACAAACAACGTCGCCAGTACGCAGCCTGCAACATCCAGCGTTACGTCAAGGGCTGGCTCATCAGACACAAAATACAGAAACTGAAGAGAAACGTGAGTTGCCATGACAACAGATACGTGAAGCCAGCATCACCTTGCTGGTTTCGAATCAAGATTCGTACTAAACACAATTCTTCGGTTTTTACCATGTATGGTATTCCGCGCCGTGATATTGCTGGCATAATGCTAAAACCGGTGTAAACCCATTCACACACCAACGAAAAAACTAACGCCGTGTCAAATATCCCTGCTCGGATTCCAAAAGATTACAAGTACCCCCCAAAAAAACCTGATAATCGAATGTGTTGTATAATTTATAGATATGTATTTCTTAAACGCCTCAGTAATATTCCGACTGCACGACGGCGATCTTCCTATGGTCTATTTTGGTCCATATAAACCAGTGGTTGATATTATGCGCACCATGCAGTCACCCAATAAAAGTAATCGAGTCTGACCACCCGATCTGTGTAGTCTATCTTACAAGCCCAACAGGCTGCTGGAGCCTATTCTAACCCGCGAAGATCCAGGATCCGTGAACAGGATCGGGTGGTCAGGCTCGCTGACTACATGTCATCGTATCCCATCGTATGTCATCGTAGATCGATGCTCATGTTGTTGATCAACTGAATTGTCTGGTCCAGGCTCGATTATTAACAGACCGCCGCCATATAGCTGGAATATTGCTGAGTGCAGCGTTATAACAATAACCAAATCAACCTGACCATAAAGCAACAGTCAACGTCGTTAATAGTTGACACATACAACTACAATGAGGGCGGACACATATATCAAACGTATATAATCTTCGGAAGACGGTGATTACATGACATATATTATGGATGACGTCTTCTTTGTTCTTTGTACCGACGTTTCATGGATTCTTCTTGACTCTTTGCCAGATCAACGGGCAAGCTATAGCCCTGAAACGTCTTTACATAGAATAAAGGATTTCTTATCCATTTGCTGACAACCGTGTTGTGGAACTTGGCAAACTTAGGGGTCTTCAAGAACTTGATATCAGCCCCTTTCACTGATGGGCGTCTGTGTCAGTGTTTAACTTCCCGGTGATGTTTCCTGATCCCGTCAGTGTTGTGGTTAATGGACTTTCTATGCTATTGTGCTGAAAGCGGCGTAAAACTAAACACACTCACTCACTCTATTGCCCACAAATCGTATACACTCTTTAAAAAGGAAACGTAGAAGCCATTTTTAGAAGAATTTATTGCGTTAGTTTAAGAGCAATTATTTCATGTAATTTCAATGGTGAAAAGGTGAATATTCTCATGTCTATGGACAAAGAGTTCGTCAACTCAAAAGCAGCCTTCATTTTTGTGTTTCTGTTTACTTGAGTCCACAAGATGGCGTCAAGGTCAGTACTTTGTAGGGCCACCATTGGCAGACTTCGTTGATGTACCGATTCGCTATCAAATTCCCCTGAACCACGACTAAGTCAGATCTTTGTGTGATGGATATCGCACCCCACACACTACCACCGCCGAATCTGTCGACCTGTCGGATGCAATAAGAGGCAAAACGTCCATTTCTCCGACGGTAAACACGCTGTCTTCCATCTCGCCGGTGAAGAAGAAATCGTTCATCACTGAACTAGACGAGACTCCAGTTTCTAAGGTTCCAGGTCCGGACTCTACGACATCACCGCAAGCGACAGCGCCGATGGAAGTCTCTCAACACAGGGGCGACAACTGGCCTTCCTGGTCGAATACCGCAATCGATTCCTGACAGTCTGGTCGGAAATTCTTCTCAAACAGGGATGCGTTTTGCAGTCTCCACGGTTGTGATACGACAATGACGCAAGTGAGCAACCCGGATTTAGCGGTCCTGGGCTTGGGTGGTAACTCTTGGACGGCCGCTTCCTGGGCGATCATAGGAGGAATTGGTCTGTAGGAAACGATCCCAAAGGCGAGAAATGGTGCTCTTATGAAAGTTGAAATGTCGGGCAACTGCAGACTGCGACTCCCCAGCTTCAAGGGGTCCTATGGCGATGTTTCGGTTGGCGGACACTCAGTCGTGGCATGATGATTTCCTCTTTTCCAGGAATAAAACGAATAAAGATAATTAAACACATGAATCTTTGCGTTTTTATAGTCACTGTGATTGTTACCGCATGCTTTTCCGCTTACTTGCACGTGCGTTTTGCTTTGCATGTTTCCTTGGTGACGTTTTAGTGAATATTTCTTAAAACGCTTCTAAAACAAGGGGGAAAGTTATAATTGCCGCGCTTTGGCTCTGGTGCTGTTTAAAATCACGCAAAGATGACGTTTCGGAAAGAAATAGTATATTTGAATTCTTTTTCCCGCTCTTACCTGAGTCCAATATTCTCAAAATCACCTATGCGTTTCTTTTTTTTAAGTGTATTAGTCATATAGCCCTGCACTTACGCTATTATTGGCAATAGGCACTTCTATAAAAACTAAAAAAATATTTTAGAAATGCATATTCCTGTAAAATACATTTAAAAATGCAATTGATTAAACTAATGGTATTTAGAAGGGTCTCCAATAAAGTTGATGGAACAAGTTGCGTTGACATTTGTACATAGCGATGTTACCAGGACAACCTCACAAGTATAGACACGCTGCCGACAATCGGCGTCATGCGCCCCGTTTCACGTGACCCATCGCCTACACGAGTACTATTTCCTGTGGACGTAAGCGTCAGACTTATAAAACTTATTTTCTGTATACTTCATTGAAATTATTTATACAAGATCAATACATGGTCACCGTCGGCTGATTTCCATTGTGCAGCAGAATTACTTGACTTGCGCGTGGAAATTGTTGGCAGAAAAAGTTAGATCGGAGACAATACGCCGTCGACGCCACTGTATGGTCCCTGGTTAGATTGAAGAGCACAACAGTATGCAAGATCGTTTGATACCGCTGGGAATATACAGATTGTCGATAAATAAACCATCTGTGCCACCTCAAGCGTATATTTCTGCAACTTGAGCAATTGTTCTGTCATAGAGTCGCTCTACTGCATCGCTTATGTCATGCCGTTGGGAAAGGTATTGTTTAAAAACATTCTCATAGAACTTTTCGTGATGCTTTCTAGAAATAATGCAAGGAAGCTTTCGTTGTAAGAAACATCACTTTTTACGTTGTTTGCGGTTGTTTTAATTAAGGCATAGATATTGAGGAGTGGGTGGATTGAAGTGTCTTTGAATGGGGTGGGGAGCATTAGAATAATGCATCGAGTCCTTTAATGTTCAGAATAATGCATCGAGTCCTTTAATGTTCAGAATAATGCATCGAGTCCTTTAATGTTCAGAATAATGCATCGAGTCCTTTAATGTTCGGAATAATGCATCGAGTCCTTTAATGTTCGGAATAATGCATCGAGTCCTTTAATGTTCAGAATAATGCATCGAGTCCTTTAATGTTCAGAATAATGCATCGAGTCCTTTAATGTTCAGAATAATGCATCGAGTCCTTTAATGTTCAGAATAATGCATCGAGTCCTTTATTTTTTAGTTGTAAGATTCAAAACCAGTGGAATGTTTAGTGTCTACTCATTAATCTTGTGGCCCTAAAGATGCATTTTGTTCGTGATAAACATATTGAATTACTTTGCATTAATATTTTGTGGCCCGCCTTTTCTTTTCTGTTTTAATAATAGTCTTACACTTAATTATATATTTCATGCATATATTTTTGAACATATATCGAAATTTTAAACTAGAATCGCACATCTTAAGGCACAAACATGCCCCCTACCCTGCTGTGCAAGCTTACGTTCTGTAGGATATACAATGTCGTTTAGGGTTGGTGGGGTAGCCTAGTGGTTAATGCGTTCGTCGAAGACCCCGGTTCGATTCCCCACATGGGTAAAATGTGTCAAGCCCATTTCTGGTGTCCCCCGCCGTGAAATTCCTGGAATATTGCTAAAAGTGGCGTAAAACCCTACTCATTAAAGTCATTACATTGGATTCAAAGGTGTATCGGGTGGTTCTAATGGATGTTGAGTATGAAACTCTCTTGCATGCTAACCAATATATAAGACCTCTTCTTAAACGCTGTCTTGCTGAATATGCCGCTGTATTGCTCATTCTATCACTAGATTGTCTGGTCCAAATTCGATCACCCACAGGGATCTATCTTGACGCTGATGTTTTGACGACTTATGACATATACAGCATGAGAAGCTGCTGATCAAATCAAGTTGACAATCTCAATCCCATCAGCCGCTTACCGGGCATTAATTATCACAAACATTGGTCGCTCAATCTATATTAAGTGAAAAGGGTGTAGCTTCGTCAATACTAAAGAGAATTTAACACCAGTTTGTTTTGAAATTTATGCAAGAGCACTTTAATTAAGGAAATAATCAATCCTCTACCTATTAGTCTCTATAAGCATTGTTCTCGATATAGTTTCAAGTACATGTGTAGCCAGTTACCTCTTGAATAGACAGAATACAATCGGTCGAACAGCTGTGCGTCCTCAGAGCGAAGCCGTGTTTTTTGTTTCACGCCCTAGAGACTTGACAATAGGTGCATCAGTGACATCTCGCTTCACCGGTCCCATTAGTCTCCCTGATATTTAAGTATAGCATGAATAATTCACATTGAGAAAATTATTTGATTTCATATTCGGGATCATGACGAGTAATTGATATATTCCAGGATAATTGCTGAAAGACTTATTCAAACTGATTTCATTACTTGAAAAACATGGGATGGGGTGTTCAATTATTCAGTTCTTCCAACTCCACGGAATGGAAAAGACGCCTCGCGTGGCACATTACTTCAGGCATAGACGAGGCGGAGAACCGTGAAGATCCGGGTTAGATTTACCAACCCATGCTTGCCGTTAGAGGCCACTAACGGGATCGGGTGGTCATGATCGCTGACTTGGTTGACACATGTCATCGTATCCCAATTGCGTAGATTGATGCTCATGCTGTTGATCACTGGATTGTCTGGTCCAGACTCAATGATTTACGGACCGACGCCATATAGCCATAACAAATGGGGCATAGGTTTATGTGTCTGCATTACAGTCAGTGTAATACTTAAAGGAAGACAGCACGTTCATGTAGTGTGTACCGATCTGGCTTGCATATCCAAAGTTTCTCCGGAAAAACACCAAGCTGGATCATGTCAGAACATATGACATGTCAGACGCATTATTAAATAAGCTGTCATTCAGACTCATTATTCAGTAAGCTGTCATGTCAGACGCATTATTAAATAAGCTGTCATTCAGACGCATTATTCAGTGAGGTGTCATTCAGAAGCATTATTCATTCATGTCAGACGCATTATTCCATAAGCTGTCATGTCAGACGCATTATTCAGTGAGTCATTCAGAGCTGTCATTCAGACGCATTATTCAGTGAAGCTGTCATGTCAGACGCATTCCAGTAAGCTGTCATGTCAGACTCATTATTCCAGTAAGCTGTCATGTCAGACGCATTATTCCAGAAGCTGTCATTCAGACGCATTATTCAGTGAGGTGTCATTCAGATGCATTATTCAGTGAGGTGTCATGTCAGAACATATGACATGTCAGACGCATTATTAAATAAGCTGTCATTCAGACGCATTATTCAGTAAGCTGTCATGTCAGACGCATTATTCAATAAGCTGTCATTCAGACGCATTATTCAGTAAGCTGTCATGTCAGACGCATTATTCAGTAAGCTGTCATTCAGACGCATTATTCAGTAAGCTGTCATGTCAGACGCATTATTCAGTAAGCTGTAATTCAGACGCATTATTCGGTGAATGTATTCAGACGCATTATAAGCTGTCATTCGCATTATTCATTCAGACGCATTATTCATAAGCTGTCATTCAGACGCATTATTCCATAAGCTGTCAGACGCATTATTCCATAAGCTGTCATTGCATTATTCAGTAAGCTGTCATGTCAGACGCATTATTCCATAAGCTGTCATTCAGACGCATTATTCAGTAAGCTGTCATTCAGTAAGCTGTCATATCAGACGCATTATTCCATAAGCTGTCATTCAGACGCATTATTCAGTAAGCTGTCATTCAGACGCATTATTCCATAAGCTGTCATTCAGACGCATTATTCAGTAAGCTGTCATTCAGACGCATTATTAGCTGTCATGTAGACGCTGTCATGTCAGACGCATTATTCCATAAGCTGTCATTCAGACGCATTATTCCATAAGCTGTCATGTCAGACGCATTATTCCATAAGCTGTCATGTCAGACGCATTATTCCATAAGCTGTCATGTCAGACGCATTATTCCATAAGCTGTCATTCAGACGCATTATTCCATAAGCTGTCATTCAGACGCATTATTCAGTAAGCTGTCATGTCAGACGCATTATTCCATAAGCTGTCATTCAGACGCATTATTCAGTAAGCTGTCATTCAGACGCATTATTCCATAAGCTGTCATGTCAGACGCATTATTCAGTAAGCTGTCATTCAGACGCATTATTCAGTAAATCAAGCTGTCATGTCAGACGCATTATTCAGTAAGCTGTCATTCAGACGCATTATTCCATAGCTGTCATTCAGAGCTATTCATAAGCTGTCATGTCAGACGCATTATTAAGCCATCAGAGCATGTCATATGTCAGACGCATTATTCCATAAGCTGTCATTCAGACGCATTATTCCATAAGCTGTCATGTCAGACGCATTATTCCATAAGCTGTCATGTCAGACGCATTATTCCATAAGCTGTCTCAGACGCATTATTCCATCAGACGCATTATTCCATAAGCTGTCATGTCACGCATTATTCAGTAAGCTGTAATTCAGACGCATTATTCCAAGCTGTCTGTCACGCATTATTCAGTATTCAGTCAGACGCATTATTCAGTAAGCTGTCATTCAGACGCATTATTCCATAAGCTGTCATGTCAGACGCATTATTCCATAAGCTGTCATTCAGACGCATTATTCAGTAAGCTGTCATGTCAGATGCATTATTCCATATGCTGTCATTCAGACGCATTATTCATTTACTTACAGGAGTAAATCCATACATATTACACAAAGAACTTAATTAAGCACCCTTGTATTATTGCAATGACAGGTTTTCAACACGTATAAACTCGTGGTGACCATGGTTGAAAAACGTGAGTTTTTCTAACCCGCATGATCCTTTGACTCATATAAAAACGACAAAATGATTCACTGGAATCCATGTTGATTTTATGATGATAATTGCTCATTTAAAAGAAAAAAACACTGATGTTGATACAAAACCATGTCTGTACAAGTATGGCCCTGGAATGTTTAATGTTGAATTTATTGGTGAACTTTGAACATTCAAAATGTCATTTTGCGTGTCTTACACGATTCAAGGTCAATACCGAGTGTACCTCCATGTGACTGTATGACAGCCAGCACTCCCCTCCTCATACCCCTGTCAGCCTCCTGATCCTCTGAAGGGGCAATCTACGCCATTCCTCGTGTAAAGCAGCTTCCAATTGGGCCAGGTTCTGTACAGGAGGATCTCTTTGTTGCACACGACGACCAGTCATGTCCCAGATATGCTCCAAAGGGTTAAGATCGGGGCTCATTCAAGCGTGGGATATGTCAGGGGGTGCTTAACTAAGTTCTTTGTGAAAGAACTCTTCAACGGCAACCACAAAAAGAGACAAATCTGTCGCTGACCATTTCAACTCAGCAGGACTCTCTACTGGAGACCTGCTGTATCAGCTCCTACAACAGCTAAAATCGGACCCTGGGTTAAATCAGAGCACGGCCAAGTGCTGATCCAATGAATTAAAATGGATCTTCGATCTCAAAACAATTCACCCAAGGCATAAAAAAACTTAATCCTGAAGTTCCCAAACACCTCTCATTCTGTCTAGTCGGAAGTCGTCTAAACTATCTGGTTCTAGTTCACCTCCTTGCAGGTCCACAGCCATCATGTCAGATAGTTTGTCTTCAGCATGAACACCCGGTGTCTATCCTAGACGTTACATAGCTGCGAAGCATACAAGTCATCATTTATCATTACAAGATCTACTTAGGAGATAAACATCATGTGTTGGCCAATTTCCGGGTGTTATTGAGTATTTGAAGCACGGGAATTCATTTGGAACCGAGCTTCAAATACTCAATAACACTCGGATTTTAATGACGTCATCACAGCTGACGACGTAACAATACAATGGTGTGAGCGATGTTTGCATGTATTAATACTCAGCGAATTTCCGGGAATCGAATACCATTTGATCACGTTTTTCAACCAATCAGATGATAGAACACAGTGACTTTTGGTTTACAATGTTTGGTATTCTAAGGTGCCTAGCGGTTAGAACAATCGAAAAAAAAATACATTATCAGACAATAAAGGGATAGTTTTTTGATGACGTAACAATTGAATGACGTTATCCCGTTACTGCGCCATTCTAGTATGCCCCCTCGTAATCGAACGATATTACATTACGTCACAATGTAAGCGACGTCACGATGCATGTCAGTTGCCATCGCCTCGTACGGCCTCCTACAGTTAACTACTCCGTTGCATCCCGTTTCTTGGTTTGCAGTTGCTTCACGCAGCTAACATCACTGGTGGAAACATTACGTTTATGTTTTACGACGGTTAAAATGTGTCAGTTCGACTCACAAGACTCACAAGTTTTCATCGACATGGTAACGTTCGCAATGTTTACATTCCCACAATGCAATCGTGGAATGTCGCTGACTACTCGGCTTCATCTGGATGTACTGATCTAAACTTACGCTGGTAGTAGAAATGCGACGTTCATATTGCCCCATATGGTTTACGTTAATGACAAATGTAATTAAAATAATTCAGAGAAGATATTTAATCCGAACTTAAACCGTCATCAAACTGTTATCATTTGGGGGTTTTCTGGTAACGCTCGTCTTACGTAGGGGAGCAGACACATCAATAGAACAGCGCGCCAGTTAGCCCTGTGCGAGGATTCTTAATTTAGGTCACCGACACCGTTGTTTGTTTTCTGCCTTAAATTAATCGTAATTATCCTTAGAAAGTATTAAATTTGGCATCTTAGAAAAGATATACAGTTCGCTCTACCACCATGTATAGTGTAATAAAGCACACTTTCGCCCTGAACTATTATAACGTTAATGCACTCGGACGCAAGCGTCCTCGTACTTTAACTATAATAGTTCAGGGCGAAAGTGTGTTTTATTACACTATACATGGTGGTAGGGCGAACTGTATTTCTTAAATAATATATATTTCAATGAACCAATGCCCAGCCTGTCATGCACCACGTGCTTTTTATGACAAAAATACTGACTGCCAAGCGTATCTCTCTCCAGGATATGAACGGGTGTTTGACAGAATGGTGGACAGACGGATTGAAAAGATGCCACGAGACGACCTTCCCGAGTTCTTCCGAGCCTGTGGCCTTCACCCTACAGAAGGGGAGATAAACGCTGCGTTCAACACAATCTTCCGAGGTAATACATAACATGTCACTTCTCGTACATACACCAATTGATGATACGCCAGCACTCTGAATCTAATCGTGGACACGGTCAACAGTTTCCAGGCCATAGATTAATAACGTAAAACAATATCCGAAATTCCAAGGAAAATGTGTTGTTTTAAGGATAATTTGGGTAGTATTTCAGCGAGTGAGTATGATTTAACGCCGCGTTTACGGTTAATCCAGCTGTTGCGTGGGGCCCGCTGATCGGGGTCCATGTCAAAGTGCTGCTTGGTATTTAAGTCACGCTCTGATAGTGTTTTTGATTCTTGTGCTCTGATCCAACTTAAAATATAAAACCAGCATTAGTACAAGTAGCCACATGTACACGTACACGCACACGCACACGCACACGCGCACGCGCACGTCATTGGATACCAATAATCTTTAACGCAACGTTGCACCGCAACGTGTCAACTCACCTAGCATATAGAGCATACTCTATTGAACTTAACGCCACCCCTGACATGCCATTATCTATTCTCTGATTCCCTAACTAAGAAGCAACGTGTTCAAATGTCATCGGTTCCCAGATTCGTAGATCGATGCTCATGCTGTTGATCACTGGATTGTCTGGCCCAGACTCGGTTATTTACAGACCGCCGCCATATAGCTGGAATATTGCTGAGCGCGGCGTAACACTACACTCACTCACTCACGCGTTCAAAACCCATCATGAAAAGATAGGACGGATCCGATTCCGCCTTCGGATGCAAATGTTCTATACAACAACGCTCCGAGCTTCATAATGGATGAAAACTTTCACTCAGTATGACTTTCACTCATGCATGCTGTGGCAAGGTCGCAATGCTTCCATAACACGACCATGGAGAATCTTTTCATCTTTTATTTTAAAAATCATAACTACTTTGTGCTGAATAAAAATGGTTTTAATGATTTCGTGGGAAGTCTACACTGTCGAGGCATGCTTGAAGATATTAACATTTCATGTACATGTAGGATAAAAACCCAAGGCAGAAAAGAAACGCAGATCGATATTTGCTCATTATGGGATCATGTATGTGTTCAAATGGAATCAATATCTCCCCACGTATCGGTTTCATTGATAACGTGCACTTAGGCATGTTCATTGTGGTTTACGAATAAAAGTAATGACATGCGCGTTCATCGATTTTGTGAGAACATTGATGACATGTAGTGATATCCTCGAAAACAGAGAGGCGTTTTTTGTTCCGTTCGTTTAGTCTTTGTGTTGTACATTTGGTTAAAATTTCTATACATGCTGGTGGGTTTCGCCACAGTGACACACGTCTGAGACCTGCGTCACTCGTCACGCCGAAAACCCGGGTTCGATTCCCACATGGGTACAATGTGTGAAGCCCATTTCTGGTGTCCCCGCCGTGATATTGCTGGAATATTGATAAAAGCGGCGTAAAACTCAACTCACTCACTCCCTGCATCACTCTGGGGGTTTCCTTAACATTTAATAAGAAAGGCCATGCTATAACTGGAATACTGTTCAAATTCAGCATTACTGACTTACTCACTCACTCTTATAAAGTAAATAGATTTACTACCTCATTCAAATCCATAATGCCCTGGATTCGGGTATACCTTTGCACTCCATTCTAGTTTGTCTGTTTGTTGTTTTACGCCGCACCCAGCAATATTCCAGCTATATGGCGTCTGTCTGTAAATAATCGAGTCTGAACCAGACAATCCAGAGAACAAACAGCATGAGCATCAATCTACGCAATTTGGATACGATGACATGTGTCAACCAAGTCAGCGAGCCTGTCCACCCGATCCCGTTAGTCGCCTCTTAGGACAATGAGGTGCTGAAGATCAATTCTAACCCTGATCGTCACCGGTACCATGCTAGTCAAAAAGACGGCGTCAATAAGGGCCAAGGAGCTGTATGGTAGCCTAGTGGTTTAAGTGTTCGCTCGTCACACCGAAGGCCCATGTCCAGTTTTCAACTGGAGTCATATGTGTGAAGCCCATTTGTGGTGTCCCCCGCCATGATACTGTTTCAATATCGTTATAAGCAGCGTAAAACCCAAATCACCCTAAAGTCAACAGTTCGGCATTTCGATTTGGGAACATAGAAATGTTGCAGCGGGATGCATAAAAACAACAACAAAAGTAGATCCCAGCCAATCAGAATCCGTCATCCACGTGTAAGGTAAAATAAATTCTCTTGTACGATCATTGGTGGTTATCTTACAATAAAGAACTGATTTAAATCACCTCAGGTGCGGGTAACACAGCGGAAGTGGTGTTCGTGCTGGACTGCTCTGCCAGCCTCGGTCCCGTCAACTTCAAGTGCCAGCTCAACTTCTTGAAGGACATCATCAACGACCTGGACGTGGCCGCAGACCGCATCAGGGTCGGACTTGTGCCCTATACTGAAAGCGTGTTCGAATCATTCGGCCTCACTCGTTTTAAAACCAAACAGGACATTATTGAAAGAATAGGTAAGGTTGAGCATAAAGTATGGAACACCAAGAAGTATTATTTCTTTGTGTTTGTTTATGTTATATATATATTTAATGACACCAAGAAGTTTTGTCTTTGTTTTAACGAGAGTTGAACGAGAGTGGGTCACAGGGATCTCTGGAACGAGAGCTTTCAAATGATGTGCATCGCCTGGTGCTGGTTCTGGTCCTGCCGGGGCTGCGAGAGCATACACTCGTAAATTGTTGCGAAACGTGATTGGAATATTTTTATGGATTAAACTTCTTTTTAATTTATCTCACTGGATTAAACTTCCTTTTATTTCTCACATAATCCATAAAAATATCGTGGACATCAATGTACAACTTCTAAATGCCACTGAAAGACATCGTGATTGGAATAGATTAAATTCCGCCATATTTCTGCCTTATTTCGCACATATAACTTTTGTTTTAGTCTTCGTCACTGTGTTTCAAGTCAGACATCAAAGTGCTGTTACAATTTATGAAGACGTTCACGCAATTCTGTTAATAATCAAACCAGGAAGAGTGATGTTGATGCAAGATGAAGCCAAGTCCATGTTACTAGATGGCTGCCATGTTACTAGATCGTGTTGAAAAATACATTGCTGCGTCTTTTGAAAGAATTTATGATGCGGATCCCAGGAGTGACCACACCACACTTTTTTCCTGAAAGTTTATTAAATGAGCATTGAAACTCTGGAAATGAAGTGTGCACCCTCCCTTTTCCACAGAAAAACACACACACACTGCAGGATACTTTCTCAAAAGCTGTATCCGCCCCTGTTTAGGCTTAAGGCCTTAATCAAAACCAAATATTTAGTTTTGCAGTATTTTATCTTCATACAGCCATCTCCCCCAGAATAACAAATGGTCAGTCCCATGTACACACTTCACAATTTCTTGATATCATGCCGATTGTCTCCAGATCAAATCAAGTTCAAGGCTGGACTGACCCGTACTGACCTCGCCCTGAAGATGATGAGGGAGATATTTCAGGTAGGCGTGGTCAACTCTGGAATGCCAAGGATTCCTGGAATCTTGGAGTTTGTTTATTGCCAAGTTTATGACATTCACTAGTATCATATATCGACATAACCTTGTGTGTCTGAAGCCTGGGGAACATCGAATAAACCTGTCGATATAACCGTCCTTCGACACTTGTGGAGCACATGATTACTGACCAAAGTTTGATTAGGTTTCTGCCGGTAGAACATGGTTTCGTCGAAATAAAATAAACTGCCAGCTTAAAGAAAGTACCCGTATTTCCTCTAATAAGCGCCGGGTCTCTAATAAGCGTCGGCCTCCGATAAGCACCGGGGGTAAAGCAACTGTTCAAGGAATAAGCGCCTGGTCTCCAATAAACGCCGGGTCTCTAATAAGCGCCGGGTGTGCGACATGTTTACAATTGAGTTTTCAAATAAAATTCCAATGGAGAAAAATTAAGCGCCGGGTCTGGAAGTCCGTTAAAAAATAAGAGCCCAGGCGCTTATTGGAGGAAATACGGTATACCCTTGAAATTTGGATCAGAGCACAAAAATCACTATCAAAAACACTAACAAAGCGGGTTGGGCTGAAAACAGACACCGAAACACTGCAATTTTTATCCAAAACATACCTGTGATACTCGTATCAAATACATAACCGTCGAATACCCATTCCTGGTTTATTTTATATTTAGCCACTTTAAAATGGGTGTATATTCTCTTTGGCCGGGTGGTTAATATATCGGGTGGAGTCAAGGTATGCGTGTGGGTTTAGACATATACTGAGGGGGAAAAATAAGGGATCACATGAAAGCAAAGTGTTCCTTTATTTTTTCCAGGTTTCTTCACAAGTTGTGCGATACAAAGCTTTTAAAGAAACCTGGGGAAAAATAAAGGAACACGTGTGCTTTCATGTGATCCCTTATTTTTATTCCCTCAGTATATATCATGTATGTACTAACACCAGGGCAAGTTTTTCAGCCACATTCAATGTTTTACCCTGTCCCTAGTCATCACGCCCGGGGGTGCAGAAGGTGTGCCTGGTGATCACCGACGGCAAGTCACATGACGTGAACCTCACCCTCAGAGAGGCGAGAAGGGCACAGCAGGACAATATAGACATTTATACCATAGGTGAGTGAATGTGGTTTTAGCACTATTGCAGTAATATCGCAGAAATTGGCGTCACACATTGTAGCTATGTGGGAATGAAACCCAGGTTTTCGGCCTGACGAGCCAATGCTTTAACCACCCCTCAGGATACCACCCTCTGAAAAGGAGAGGGGTTAAATTTATTGGTATGCTGGTAAAAACATTCCTTATATATTCAGTTCATCCTCCTTTACTTCAGAAGAACCTACCCGTAAAGGTCCGGGCTAGAATATTGATCTTCAGTAACCCATACTTGTCGTAAGAGGCGACTAACGGGATCGGGTGGTCAGGCTCACTGACTTGGTTGACACATGTCATCGTTTCCCAATTGCGCAAAATCGATGCACATGTTGTTGATCACTGGATTGTCTGGTCCAGACTCGATTATTTACAGACCACCGCCATATAGCTGGAATATTGCTGAGTGCGGCGTAAAACTAAACTCACTCACTCATTCTGAAGAACGTTCATTTAATTTTACTCTAAGACCAAGTGAATTTCACAACCCCAGAAATACCATGGTTCACCAATTATCTGTGAAATGAAAATACAAAATGTTTTGCATTTCTCCTTTGAGTGAGTGAGTGGTATTTTAACAGTATTCCAGTTACATCACGATGTGTCTGCTTGGTGTGAATGGAAAGCCTGAAGTGATTCAAGTCTCGTTTACCACTTGGTGAAACCCACAAGTAGGGATATGACGCTAAAAAACTATACTGAACCACAAATGAAATGTCGCACAGGTAGCGGTTTCTTAAAGCACACACTTTAATTCACAATCAAACCGGAGGATTGACTTCAAACTTGACAATTATGGTTAACACAGTTTCGGGAATCACATTTAGAGTTCGCACGAACAAAATCACCAAAACTGGTACCATTAAGATACCCCAAAGTCAGTGGTGTGTGTGGCCTCCATGAGAATCGATTAAAGTGTTGCATCGTCTGTACATGGAATGAATTAGCCGGTTGATGAAGGCCATAGGCACTTGGGTCCGTACACTGCGAAATGCCTGATCGAGTCCAGCCGCAGTTGTCGGCCTTGGTTGGAGGTCTTTCAGTCTCCTTTGAATCTCTTCCCAAAGGTGTTCTATTGGACTTAAATGCGGACTGAGTGCAGGCTATTGTAGAGTTTGGATGCTATGTTGTCTTACTGGAAGATGTGATTTCTGTAACGACCAAAATGTGGTACAACGTGGGGTCTTATGACTTGGTCAACACAGCAAGCAGCTGTCACATCATTTCCTCATCCTGGACCGAGATTCTGGAACACCACGGTGTCAACTATCTCGTTCAGAACGATTGCACCCCACACCATGATGCTTGGACTACCCCATGAGTCTCTTTCAACAATACGCTCATTGGAAACAGTTCCCCACGCCCTCACCATACTCTCGCTCTGCCATCGACTGTCGAAAAACAATATTTGCTTTCATGAGATAAAAGCACAGTTCTCCATTGTCGATAACGCCAAATGCGATGTTGAGTTGCCCATTGCAGTCGGTATGGGCGGTGATGAGCGGTGATGACTGGACTACGATATGGTCTGTGACAGCAGAGGTTTCTTCCGCGCAAACATCGACGCACTGTATCTGCACCGATGGGTCTGTTGTGAGTCCCAATGGTCTGGCGTGCTGTTTTCGTCGCTCTGGGGAAGCGATCCTGCAGATGGTTGCGCAAAATCTGTCGGTATTGACGTTGTGATGTTACTCAAGGTCGCCCACTGCGTGAACGGTGTGCAGTAGTCTGATACCGCTCCTGTAGTCGGTATATTGTCTTAACATGAACATTAAAATGATTGGCTACCCTCCGTGCAGTCTGGACAACTTGCAATCGTCCAAAGACTTGGTTCCTCTGATCTCTCGTTAGTCGTGGCATGGCGGTTGTGTCAAAACAAAAATGATTTCAGGCGAGTTTTGGACTCGCTTTCATTGGTAGGGTTGTCACGATATGCACGTGCAATTGTATTTTCACCAATGTCTCACGGAACCTTTTACCACGTCTGTCTTTTTAGGTGCGTTTGGCCGATATACGTTTTCATCAGAAAACACACTGATGTTGGTAATAACTGTGAATTTGGATTGGAAAACATGTTAACAAAACGGTACAATCATAATAAAGACACCACCTTGTAATAACAAAATTTTGCATTTGGTTTTGAAAGGCGGCGTTTCTTTTGTGGTTCAGTATAGAAACAATATTGGAGTGAACAGGGATTCGAACTCGAATCATGGATATTGCGTGCCTAAGGGACGCCACTCTGCTCAGCGATTTGGCTTGTATGTTATCTCACGATGATAAGACGACTATTCTATGCAGGTGTTGGATATGACGTGGATCTGGAGGAGCTCAAGTGTATAGCATCCTCGGAGAAGAACGTGCACACTGTGTCCGAATACAAGGCTCTGGCCAACCTCAAGGACCTTCTCCAGAAGAGGATCTGTCTAGGTAGGTCACATAGGGACATAACATATGTACGTTATGGAGAAATGATAATTATGCGGATCTAATACACAATTACACCATGGGGAAATAACGCAATTACATCGTGGAGAAATACCACATTTTGCATCATAGGCAAGTAACATGATATCACTTTGAAGTAATGCATGATTATTACGTTTACATCATAGGCAAATACCATGCAATAACATAATTTGGAAGTGAATATGAAGAAAATAATAGGTTTTACATCATGGGAAAATAACACATTAACACCAGGGGGAAACTTGCCAACGTCACATTTTACATCACTGAAATAACACGTTATTACATCACGAGGGAAAATAAACACACATTACGTCATTATATATCAGGAAATAGCACGTTATTGCATAATTGTTGAACATTACCGTTTGCCCGCACATTAACACACCGAAACAATCATTCGTAAAAAAGCTCCTTTACAAGATGTGGCACGATCTGAGGCTAGAACATACGTGTCATACTTGAAGTGATACTGGAACTCCATGAGGTTATATCTCTGTATCAACTCACCCCAGGTTGCTGCACGCTGTGCCAGCACGTGTTGCCTAGGATACTGAGCGAGGGGTTCTACCAGTCCGAGGTGATGGACATGCTCTGGACCATCTTTGTCCCTCTAGGCACGGGACTCACGAGGAATATCTATGAGCTAGTTGACCCGTACACTGGTACTTATGCCTAACAATCTGCCATGTGTTTCCTTTGCCTTCCTCAGTGCATGTCTCTTCTGATTCCGACACATGTTCCCGGTTCCTGTTCCCTGTTTCTTGTTCCTGGACGCACCTATCAGTCTGTCCCATTGTCCTTGTTCCTGACTTCTCTTTCCCCGTCCTTGTTCCCGTGTCCCTTTGCTTATCTTGTTCCCTTTCTTTGCTCCAAACCCCCCAGTTCCTGTTCTTATTCTCTATGGCTCCTGTTCTCTGTTCCCTGTTTCTTGTTCCTGTCACCTCTGTCCCATGTCCTTGTTACTGACTTATCTTCCCCCGTCCTTGTTCTTGTGTCCCTTCCCGCATCTTGTTCCAGTTCTTTGTACCTATCCGTCTTGTTCCTGTTCTTATTCTCTATGGCTCCTGTTTCTTGTTCCTGTTCCCTCTGCCCCATGACCTTGTTCCTGACTTTTCTTTCCCCGTCCTTGTTCTCGCATCCCTTTGCTTATCTTTTTCTCGTTCTTTGCTCCAATCCCTCCAGTTCCTGTTCTTATTCTCTATGGGGGCGGTGGGGTAGCCTAATGGTTAAAGCGTTGGCTTGTCACGCCGAAGACCCGGGTTTGAATCCCCACATGGGTACAATGTGTGAAGCCCAGTTCTGGTGTCCCCGCCGTGATGTTGCTGGAATATTGCTAAAAGTGGCGTAAAACCAAACTCAGTCAGTCAGTCTTATTCTCTATGGCCAATGTTCGTCATGATCACGACTGGTTCGTCTTTGTGTTCCGGCCATTGAATCGTATGTCTTAAACATGTTTCACGAGGTGATTTCCAAATTGAAAAACGGAGAACACAGAAATACAGTTTCATAGTCACATAAGTTGCAGCAAAATTATTGACTAGCCCAGACGGGATGTTAGTGTGTATGAAAGTTCAGGATATTGTCACTATTGAATGCATCGAAAAAGGCCCGTCTTAGTTCTTGAATACAGACAACAGTTTGGGAGCTGACAGGAAGTCGGTGTTTAAAAACAAGTATACAAACTACGCTTGGCAAGTAGGGTAGGAACATGTCAGGTCGAAGAGGTCTCTGGTAGAGCAGCAGCCAGCATTTTAAAAATACGTTTCAGAGGCATGCGAGTTTTTCGAAAGCTACAGGAAAGACCAAACCTGCCATGTTTATGTACACATTAGGGGCAGATAACTCTTAATCCAGGCGCTCGTTTGCTGTCACCAAAGGACCACTAAAGTTCTTGATATGTTTTAGTAGAAAACTTTCTGCATTATACATCGGGTTAGACCACGGTTTCTGTTAACTTAACATTATATTTCCCCGCCATACAACCTGATCACAAATCTGTGTCCCCTCTCCTTTCTGTGTAGCGAACTAGGAGACTGTCTATTAAGGAGCAGCAGAGGGAACTCCTTTCTTTTTAGCGAGTGAGTGAGTGTAGCTTTACACCACATTTCGCAATATTCCAGTAATATCGCGGCGGGAACATCAGAAATAGGCTTCACACCTTTGTGTCCTGTATTGTACTTTCCTTGCCTGAAGTCTTCTCAACTCTTCTCTTGCCTTGTTCCCACATCTCACCCATACTCAAGTTCTCTAAGCGCCTGTCCTTTGATCCAGGGAGTGACCAATCCCCGTCAGACAGGCACGTGCAGCCGGTGCGAGACGCGTGCAGACCTTTAGTCAGGGACGAGGCTCTGGAGGTTATATGGAGCTTGTATGCGCCCAAGGCATCAGATGTTGAGGCTAGGAAGTCTCGCTGGATCCGCCCTGTGGTGCAGGAGACGGAGGCTTGGTCACTCCTTGGTATGTAGTGGCGATCTGTCTCGCCTACAGCAAGGAGACGGTCATATAAACGGCCGAGCAAAACAAAGTATACACGCGTTTCATGTTGTCTGAAAACGAAACAAGTTTTGGTTATCAGATGGTAATGTATACGATAATGGTATCGTAGGACCTTACCTTTGTAGAGTTTCGGGAACTGTTCTCAAGTGTATACTTCTTTTGCCCGGTAGTTTACATAGTTTCCTTGCGTGCAATACAGTCTTGTTTGGGAATGCATTGTCATCAATATACTGGTAGAGAGGCCCAAATTAATTGTGATGAAATGAGGGGATTAATATATTTACAATCTGTCAAGTAAATATACGCACAATACCGAATACAAGAAATGTATTCTTAATATGTGTAGGGATGGGTGGGAGTTGTATCGTGTAAGCTGTTTGATGCCGCTCATTGTGAATTAACGAGGATCGTACCATGACACTTACCTTCTTAGTTTACCAGTCTTTCAAAACCAGGAATAACAATGTATTCCCAGGAATCTAGACTGGTATTCCCATGTATTACCTTTCTCCTCTGAGACGTTGTTGTCATACTTGACTGTTTTATGTCCTTATAAATACGTACTTTGCAATTTAGATATAATGATTGTCTCGCAACATTAAAAAATACTTAACAAAGCTGCTTGTAATGTACCAATGTTTAAATTTGTAAAGATTAACATTTCCTAATCAAGGATCAGACCAGAAATTGAAATCCCAACTGTGCATTAAAACTGAAGTCGATTAAGATACCTAACTTCATACTATCATAGCTTAATAATGCCATATATGTCTTGTTGAATAACTAGCATTGTTAAAATATAGGTGAAGACATGGTATATTTGGTAATTAAATAGAGTTGTGTATTTTTCGTTTTAGATGACCGCATTTTGACCCAGACGGATTTCCGTACTTGTCTGAAGCTGGTGATAGAGGCGCGGCTGAACAGAGAGGGCGTGATCGCCATCCCCAGCCACGTGCGCGCCGGGGTGGAGGAAGTGTCCAACGCCGAGGAAGCCATGGAGAAGATTGAGAAGTACCTGCTGGAGAGGAAGGCTGAGAAGGAGAAAATAGAGACGACTGCGCCACAAGTCTCTGTGTAATCTGGTGGCTGTGCCTATGACCTGAGAACCACTGTATAGTATATACATTCCCATCCAGTCGACACATATTGGGAACATGCTCGAGCTCGAATCATTTGTTTGTACGTTTAACGCCGCACTCAGCAATATTCAAGCGGTGGTCTGTAATAATCGAGTCTGGACCAGACTATCCAGTGATTGGCGTCACGAGCATCGATCTACACAATTAAGATCGATTACATGCATCAACCAAGTCAGCGATCCTGACCTCCTGATCCCGTTACAAGCATTAGCTGATGAAGACTGGGGCTCCTTTACTCCCATTCTTTAACATTGCACTAAGGTTACCTTAGTGACTTACGATCACCTTATTGCTTTGTGAAAGGAGCCCAGATCTAACCCGGATCATCAGAAGTCTCGTATCACAAAGGTGCCTTATGTCTCACGATCTCAAAACATTCAATTGCATTTAAATGCATCCGTACATGAAATAATCTCTAAACCCTGGTCGTCAACAAACATCAACTGTATGATGTATCCAGGTCAGGAATCGAACCCGGACCTTCGGCGTCACGAACCATATAACCACTGTGCTACTCACCGCCGGGTGTGTTTGGCTTACTGCTCAAGCCTGGTTATGGGACACACGTAGGAATGACGTATGATACAATTTCCACCATCAATGATAGATTAACTGTTATCGGATGTTATCTAACTTAATTGGAGATTGACATAATTAGTATAATATTTGCGTAACAGCTGTCCAAGTTGATGGAATTAAGCCTATGAAAACCGTCAACGAGTTTACAAAATGTGCATATTAAGATGTTGATTGTTTGAAATAAGATCTATCATTTAAAACAAATATTGTCATCAAATTCTGTGATATTGATATGTTGGTGTTGTTTTCTGTTGATTGTTTTTTGTTAAATATTCCTGCCGTTTCGTAACAAATCGTTTTTATATAACTAACAACTGCTGAAATGAACTTTGAAATCACTTTTACTTGCCTTGGTGTTTTCTTTTAATTCCTTCTAATGTACTTGCATGGTGTGTATATACCAAAAGAAGTTTGAAACAACCAAATTCTATCTTGTAGATTATCTGTCATGCCATGGCAGATTAACTGCACTTGTGTGAAAGAATTGGATTGTCCTTAACATCTTTTGAGTAGTATATCTATGTCGATACAAGTAACATGTTAGGGTTGTTTTTGGCGTTTTGGTTTGACGCCGCACTCGGCAATATTCAAGCTATATGACGGCGGTCAGTAAATAATCGCATCTGGACCAGACAATCCAGTGACTGACATCATGAGCATCGATCTAAGCAATTGGGATAGCATGACAATTTTAAATGTCAACCATATCAGCAAAACTTGTCCACCCGATCCCGTCAGTCGCCTCTTACGACAAGAAGGGGTTGCTGAAGACCCAATTCTAACCCGGATCTTCACAGGGGAGACAAGCATGGGTTGCTGAAGACCAGTTCTAACCCGGATCTTCACAGGGGAGAAAAGCGTGGATTGCTGATCATGAAGACCAGTTGTAACTCGGATCTTTACGGGGGAGACAAGCATGGATTGCTGTAGACCAATTCCTACCAGGATCTTCACAAGTCTCAAGTAACGGTTCTGGTTCAAACAACGTAACATGGGGGTTTTCATTTCTTTCTCATCATATGATTGTAATTTTGGATGTTTTTATTATTTTGTTCAAATTCGGGTGCTATTTGTTTCCTTTCATGTTTGTTTCCAAGTGCAATGATTGTCAGGAAACCCATGTGAATAAATCATCGAACATCTTTCAGTGTTTTCTCTCCATACTTCACACTCTTGATGCTTAGAAGGACCGCCTCCGTGGTGTAGTGGTTAGAGCGTCCGCCCGGAGAGCGGAAGGTCGCGGGTTCGATCCCAGACCGCGTCATACCAAAAGACGTTAAAATATGGTACTTGTTGGTCCCTGCCTGGCGCTCGGCATTAATGGGTACATCAAGGACTGGTCGGCTCAGAATCAGTATAATATGTCTGAGTGGGGTATTAATGCTCCACTGCGGCATGGTATCTCAGTGGGCTAGCACTTTAAAACCAGCTTCAGTCTGGGCTAGTACAAGCAGCCGCACATACACATACACACGCATGCACGTCGTCATATGAGCGAAATATTCTCAAGCACGACGTTAAACCCAATTTCACCTCACCTCACCTCACCTCATCCTCACCTCGCCTTGATACTAAGAACCCAATCCATGTTCTGGAAGCAATTCGTAATCAGCATGCTCTATCGGTCTATTCTTCCAGACATTTTAATTTAATTTTTTTGTTTAAAGGGCAAGTTTACACACAAATAAATGAGGTGTTTGTTTTGTTTGTTGTTTAAAGCCACACTCAGATAAACCCAGCTACATGTAAATAATTGACTCTGGACCACACAAACCAGTGATTGATACTGTTACCAACGCCACACGTCGCGGGTACGGTCGCCTGTTACGAGAAGGATGCTGGAGTCTAACAGTTCTAACACAGAATTCCAAACGGGAACCAGCAAACAGTGAGTGAGTGTGGATTTACCCCGCTTTTAGCAATATCACGGCGTGGGACGCCAGGAATGGGCTTCACATATTGAACCCATGTGGGGAAGCGAACCCGGGTCTTCGGCGTGACGAGCGAAGCTTTAACCAGTAGGCTACCCCACCACCCCACCAGCAAACAGAAATACGTGCGTAAGACCATGGATACAGAGGCTCAGAGCAGGTGAACCAGTTTTCTTTAACAGAATTTTAGTCGTATTAGGGAGTATTGATTATGTGGATGAAAGCGGAATTGATTCAATGTGGGATGAAATGCCTGTCATGGCGCAGAGTTCAGAGGTCAACCACTGCAAATCTGGAATATCGTTCCTTTGGTGATTCCCCCCATGGGTATAATTTGATGCCATTTCTGGCGTCATGTGATATTGCAGAGTTCAGAGGTCAACCACTTGCAACTCTGGTCCGGAATCGCGTTCCTGGCATTGTTGGTCCCTGGGCTTTCGATTACAACCCACATGGGTAGTATAAATGTGTGGGGAAGCTTCACTGCGGCGTGGTATTTCTGGCGCACCCATCAGTCTGGGCTAGTACAAGCCGTGATATTGCATACACACGAATATTGCCAAAAGCAGCGTTAAAACTAATTTCACTTACACCTGGCAGGATTAGGGGACGCAACTCTGCACAGCGAAATCGGGGCCTCTCGGACAACCTGCACACGACCAAGAGGCAATGCTGTCTCGTTCTTAAGCACATAACATATGGCTTTCTAAGAATCTTTATGTTCTGTTGTCTAGCAAAAACGGAACATACACTGAAACACACGTTTAGTGGCAGCGATATTGAAATTCCTCACCCAATATCCTGAATGCACGAGCCTTTCACCATACCACCTGTTTCAGAGAATGTTGTTGCTTTTCATGACGCAATCATGTGTCACGTGCAGCACATGATGTTCTTACTTCATTTGGACATTGCCACTGCACAACAAACACACAAGTTCTGTACCTATTTACAATTTATTATGAGTTTTTTAATGAATAAATTAATGAGCATTCAAATGACATTGTCAATGAAACTGTTTTCATAATATGAATGGAAGAATAGAATGACATTGTTGATTGAAAGCAGTTCTGAACCACTTGAGTAATTGATTAAATGACAAAATACAGTGAAACCTGTCTAAACCAGCACCCCACGGACCGAAATAAAATGCCGGTTTAGAAAAGGTACCGGATTTGACTGTGACGATCATTTTCCAACATGGCTGCCATTTACACTTGTCAGTCTCTTTTAATGATCATAATATCGATGTAAAATGGCAAGACCAAATTTTTATGCTGGTTGTGACAGTGTGCCGGATTAGACAGGTGCTGGTGTTGGCAGGTTTCAAAGTACACCCTTACAATTCTGAAATATATATACTGATGATTGAAAATGATGACAATTATTTACAAATATTCACACATCTTTTTATCTTTCATTCTTTCTGGAAAGCCAATTAAACTAACTTCCATACACATACCCTGAGCCTTTAACATATTCCATGTTCAAAATGGTGGTATCTTAAACAGCTATTAGCACTGAACCCATTTCAAAAAGCGATCTTTGATCTACGATAGTCAATGTATGGGATTTTAAAACCTCATTACATACGAATTACTGTACAAAGCAGAGCCTTGATGCTTTATCCTCTATCAAAGCTGAACTATGTTGAACTCTTAATCACATCATTCAGTGTAGGAAGCACTGGAACTGATGAAGGAAAGCAGATCCACCATGACACTTCTTCAACACAGAAACCCTTTGATTCTGTGTACCCACAGTGAGATATGTACAGGTGTATTACGGATGATGAAACTGGGGAACAGTCACGAGGATTTCAGTTTCTGGAGTGATTCCTTGTTGATAAACTGAACACCATTTTTGAAATATCCAATCTGTCCGTCAATAGTGTCACCTTTCTCTCGAGGTCTGAAATGTCAAAACCCTCCATAAATGTGTATTCATACAATGATTTATATAAAAACATAATAGTCTTCATTTCAAATGAGTGCATGTGTTGGGTGTAACAAGAGGGATACATCTGCCACATGGGGGAACCTGCATCAACAGCTGTATCAGGCACCCCAACGACATTCAGTGGATCCTGGTGCAACTAAGGTGTGGTACTGATGAAGATGGTTTATGGCCACTGAGCAAGTGCCTAGTAGTGTTTGTTTGTTCGTTTGATCTTTTACGCCAAACTCAGCAATATTCCAGTTATATGGCAGCAATCTGTAAAAAATTATCTCTAAACCAGACAGTTCAGTGATCAACAGCATGAGCATCAATCTGCGCAATTAGGATATGATGCCATGTGTCAACCAAGTCAGCGAGCCTGACCACCCAATCCCATAGCATGGGTTGGGATAAGATGAAGTGTGTCAACCAAGTCAATGAGATGACATTAGTTACTGCAAGCATGGGTTCCTGAAGACAAATTCTCTCCCGGATCTTCACGGCACGCAAGAAATAGAAAACAAAGCATTAAGCATCACTACCAAACACTGGAGCAGATAGCTAAAAATATATCAGGATCTCTTTACCGTTTCTGTGACTTCCGTTTGGGCAGTTTCTCTCCAGGCACCTGCTCCTGTGGAAGAAAGGAAAGGTACTGGTGACACAGAAAGAAGCTTTTCATGTTTATAAACGTTCCAGTTGACATATGCTTCATGTCCACAGATGCCCTCTTCATCTACCCAGTGTTTGCCCCAGGCATAAAATTTTAGGAGTCATCATGACTCCCTGGTTTCAAGAGAGGGAGTCATGGATATGGTTTTCGGAGTCAACTTCAGTTTGGAACTTTCATCAAGACATCAACTGTGATTGCTTAATAACAACAAAAAACAAGGTAAGGCAGGTCTGGTATTTAATCAGCACTGAGCAGTTAACTGGCAAACAAACTTCTTCCTCTGTCATATCCAGGTCATGTATTTACACCCAATCCACTCTTCTATCCCATTTCTGGTGTCCCCTACCTGTTGCTGGAATATTGCTAAAAGCCAAGTAAAACCATCCATCAGTTATCTTATCTCAGTCCCAATCCACCCTTCTACACTGCCTTCACATCCATCCTATTTATTCAAAATCCACCCTTCTGACTTCTCCATATCCATCACATATATCTCCACCCCATCTACCTCTGAGTGACTGACTGAGTTTGGTTTTACGCCGCTTTTAGCAATATTCCACCAACATCACGGCGGGGGACACCAGAAATGCCTCTACCTCTGCCATTTTACAGAGATGGTGAAATGTTGTGAGGACTTACTCGCTCCATATCTAACTACCATCTTCAACGAGATATTAGTCACCGGAAATTATCCGATTGAGTGGGCCAAGGGTATAATCATACCTCTTCACAAGAAAGGTGACGTCAACGATGAGAATAATTATAGAGGCATATCCCTCATGGATGTTTTTGGAAGAATATTTTGCTCAATTCTAAATGAACGTTTACAATCGTTTGCAGATGTTTACGATAAAATCCCGGAGGCCCAAGCTGGATTCAGGAAGAACTACAGTACAACTGACAATATATTCACTCTTCAAAGTTTGATTCAGAATATCTCTCAAAACGAGGCGGTCCCTTTTATTGCATATTTGTGGACTTGAGAAAGGCCTTCGATTCAATTAATAGACAGCTTCTTTGGTACACACTAATCAGAAACGATATCCATGGCAGAATATCAAATGTGCTAAGGAATATGTACTCTAAAATACAGTCAGTCGTGGAGAACAGGCACCAACTCAATCTCTGACTATTTTCAATGTTTGAGCGGTGTGGTGCGATAAGGGTGCGCCCTCAGCCCTTCCTTTTTACAGTATTCATTTCAGAATTTTAAGTCATGTTGGAAAATGCCAATCTTAGAGGAATATTCACGACCCTGAATTTATGGAGCTGTTCCTGTTACTTTTTGCTGATGACCTATGTATATTCGGACGATTCTGTAATTGGACTTCAAAGAAAAATTGATATTCTACACATCTACTGTCTGACATGGGGAATGGAAGTCAACATGAACAAAACGGAAATCCTTGTCTTTCGAACGGAGGCTTCTACGAAATTATGAAAAATGATATTTACACGGATCACAGATAAAATGCTCAACATATTATAACTATCTCGGAATAATGTTCTCCACTCGACTGTCATGGACTAAATGTACCGAGAGACACTTACTACTAAAGCCACTAAAGCCCTATTTGCTATCAAACGGTATCTTATAAATATCCAAATATGTCTGCAAAGTGTTCTTTTCAAGCTCTTTGACAGTAAAATAAAGCCAATATTACTTTACGGTGCAGAAGTATGGGGTCACCAAGATAGACAAGCTATTAAAAAATTCCACTCTAATTTTGGTAAATTTGTACTAGGTGTAGGTAGGCAAGTGTCCAGTAATGCAGTATTAGCAGAATGCGGTAGATATTGACTATCAAATCAAATGTATCCGGTACTGGTGTAAACTATTATGTATGGCTACCGATAGGTACCCCAAGCAATCTTATATTCTTTTGAAAAAGCTTGACGATTGTAGCAGAATTACTTGGGCATCTTATATAAGAATATTGTTAAACACGTATGGATTTGGTTTTGTGTGGGTAAGCCAAGAAGTTGGTAGTGTAAATGATTTTGTATTTATGTTTAAACAAAGACTTGTAGATTCTGCAAAGCAAAATATGTTTAGCAAAATAAATGAATCAGCACATTTATCTTATTACAAATCACTAAAGTCACTACTGGATGTTGAATACTATATTTCTAATGTACATCTAAAGGAATATCAGCCGTTATTTATGCTTATTACATTATTCAACAATTGCCTCTCCTATGTAACGTAAGATGTCAAGATGACAGTGGGTTAAGCAAAATATGTAAAACCGTTATAATTTTGAAGATGAATTACATTTTGTACTTGTCTGTGATGCATATGCAAATTTAAGAAGCAAATACCTACCAGAATTTAACTGTCCATCTGTTTTAAGCAAATATCATAAGTTGTTAACATGCAAAGATAAGAATTTACTTATAAAAATTTCATTATTTATTAAACATGCACTATCTAAAAGGAATTCTATCCAATGTTAGAAGAGACATGTATATATATACCTATGTATATGTTTAAACCATATTGTCTATATCATATACCACTTTGCATTTATTGTACACGGGCCAATGGCCTATATACCGAAATAAATTCTTCTTCTTCTACCTCTGCCACCTTCCCCTTTTACCTCCTCCCCAATCATCCTTTTGCAATGAGTGAGTGAGTGAGTTTAGTTTTACGACGCACTCAGCAATATTCCAGCTATATATATATTAAATATTCATCTGGACCAGACATCGATCTTGCCAATTGGGAACCGATGACATGTGTCAACCAAGTCAGCTGAGCCTGACCACACGATCCCGTTAGTCGCCTCTTACGACAAGCATAGTCGCCTTTTGTGGCAAGCATGGGTTGCTGAAGACCTATTCTACCCCGGATCTTCACGGGTCCCTTCTGCAATGAATACACAATGCCATTTAGAAAGTGGTCAAATATAACACGTTATTTTGGGGATAACACTTTCTCAGTAAAGTACAGATTCCAGTACGTTTATTGGGTTGAGTCCCGTCTGGGATTCGAACCCACACACTCAGAATTGGGCACCTAATCGCCAGCACACAGTCAGCTGTCTAACCCTTCTGCAATATTTACTCATCTTCCACAGCAATATCCACCCCTCAACCGAATCTACCTCTACCAACCCCTGGCGTTGGGGTAGCCTAGTGGTTAAAGCATCCGCTCATCACGCTGAAGACCCGGGTTCGATTCCCGACATGGGTAAAATGTGTGAAGCCCATTTCTGGTGTCCCCCGCCATGATATTGCTGGAATATTGCTAAAAGCGGCGTAAAACCATACTCACTCACTTACTCACTCTACCACCCCTACATCATATATCCCCACCCCCGTCTATTTAAACCCCATTCAGCCATCTACCTCAAGCCTCCTCTGTTTCTCAGCATCCATGTCTGCCTTCCTCTTCTGCTGGAACTCCTTGTAGTTTGTGTAACTCTTGTTCCTGGGAGGCTAAGAAAAACACTTAAGGTTAGCAGTGCATTCATCACACTCCGGCACAGCGATGACTTAACATAACATCACTGCCACAGGCTAATTTGCATATCACGTGACCGGACTTTTCTCTTGTTTATAATCAAATGCGCATATTCATAATAAGAAGAGACTGGACTCACAAAGCTTTTCGGCGCTCACTTCGTAATGTTTTACATTGTTACATATATATTCTTCCACAACTGCGACATTTAGGTCTATGACAGTACATATTTAGATATCAAACTGGCTGCATCGTTTGCTCTCCATCAGCTTCGATGACAGCACGTGGAGCCGTACAACCTATGTAAACAAAGGATCGCTACGCAAATCGAAATAGTGTTACATGTTTTTGGATATTTTCTCAGTGAAACTAAACCATTCTATTAAAGATGTTTAGTTAGATGTGTAGACTCGTCAAAAATAAAAGAGTAAAATATATCTGTACATTATATTGAATGGACATTGCAAGATGTGACGAATCGTCACATTTTTCTGGCCTGTGGCAGAGGTACTATGCTGGCTTGCCGCATGGAACTCTGGGTAGGAGAGTGTGCATTCATATGCCTTATTCCCTTTATAACAGGCTCTGTCTCATTCATTTTTTAACCTGGTCCCACCCACTTCCACAAAAGGATCTTAGCACTAAGACTGTAGTAGGTTTATGGTACATTACAATATATTTATTAGAAAGAATGCTTTAGTTTTCTAAACTTTATCACATTCAAATGTAATTGGGAGAAATCGTAGATTACAGCCATAGTAAGAATAGTAATGAAACTTCATCTTGTCTTTTACAAATCATGGCCAGGTTCCCATGGTGATGGGTCAGAACAGCTCACCTTGGCACCCAGACTGATGAGCAGTGACACTCTGGCTTCAGACTTCTTCTCGCCACCGAATCCACTGATCCCGAAGCTTCCTCACTTCAAACCTGGCAGTGTTCATGTTAAAGTGGTTGACAGTGTCGGACTCAGTGTCCTCCTCCTTCCTCACCTGAAGGGATGACCAACTCATAGAATACACCACCACATACAACATAGCCCAAGTGTGTCCTCAGTAAAATGGTTAAATGCAATTTTGAATACTTTTCGAATAGTGCATAAAAAATATGTTAAGATTTCTTGATGAGGGAGTGAAATGGGTTAACAGCCCTTTTCACAGTGTCCCAATCATATCAAGACATGCCAGCTTACTGTACTTTCTTATGTATAGTGAACATTGTTTTGCCCCAGTAAAACAGGGGTTTACATTATACAGGGAATAAAGAATATTGATTTTTATTCCCCATGCACAGGCATAACAAAATGAAGGGAAACCAGAATTCGAACCCACAACCATACATTTCTATCAAGCTCAAACAGAATTTTGCACAACGAATTTTCGGAACCTAATGTCCAACTTGACAAAAATCCGAATAAAGGCACCTGTTCACCACAAGACTGATCTGTTCAGAATGTTCCTTCAAAAAATGTTCAAGACCGCCTCCATGGTGTAGTGGTTAGAGCGTCCACCCGGAGAGCGGAAGGTCTCAGGTTCGATCCCCGACCGCGTCATACCAAAAGACGTTAAAATATGGTACTTGTTGGTCCCTGCCTGGCACTCGGCATTAATGGGTACAACAAGGACTGGTCGGCTCGGAGTCAGTATAATGTGTCTGAGTGGGGTATTCATGCTTCACTGCAGCATGGTATCTCAGTGGGCTAGCACTATAAAACCAGCTTCAGTCTGGGCTAGTACAAGCAGCCGCACATACACATACACACGCAAGCACGTCGTCATATGAGCAAAATATTCTCAAGCACGACGTTAAACTCAATTTCACCAAACCTCACCTCAAAAAATGTTCAATGGTTTTGAATTTCTATTCCGGAAATGAGCACAACATTCATACATAACAAAATAAAATCCCTGATCATCAAAAGGTACAAGTTCACCTGAAGAATCCATTTGGGTTTCAAACTTGAATTATAATAACTCACTCACTCTATTCTTGCAGTAGGTATGTCTTAATTACGAGAATCAACTGATACGGCATCACCATTGTAAAAACATTTCACCCCAGAAAAGAAAAATGTTGTTATATCACCATGACAGCAGTACCTTTTTCCGTTTCTTGGCTGGATCTTCAAACACAATGACTTCCGGTTCATACTTCCTCTTCTTCTCCACTTTCACTTCCTCATCACCCCTTCCTCTGCCAGTGTTCTCCACGTCCATCAGACCTTCACTGCCCAGAGCCTCCTTCAGCCACTTCATCTTCTTGCTCATCGGCTTCGTCTTTTGTTTTCCCTGATCTGCATTGTGTTGCCTTTTTAAGAGTTTTCTTTGTTTTTGTTCAATTTTTTCTTTTTTATGGGAGTTTGGTTTGACTGTGCATCAATCCGAGAGACATCAGTTTGCTTTTGCTTTTTCTTGATTTTCTTTGATTTTTCGGACTGGTTGTCTTCATCAAGTATACTGTCTCCTGGGAAATAAGTTTTATTATAATTTAAGCCTATATGAACAAGAAATATGCATCAATAATCTAAATATAGAAGTGCCAAATTGCAATTGTACAGGTTCTGCTGGGAACATATAAGGTTACATGTAAGATGACATATCAAGTTTTCACTACTGTCCACATTGACATGTAAAGGTTCCATTGCTGAATAGTCATTTAGAATTTTTACCTGTTCAAATACTGCATTAAGTTCATTTAACTGCATAGATTAATTTTGAACTAAGTATGATTTATGCTTGTTTACACAAGCTCAACAAGAAATAGTCTGCAAAACTATGGTAAGTACTGTGACTACGCTAACATGAGAAAGTAGTGGCTGCAAGAGTTGTATACTCCCCTGGGAGTTGAGATTGATAATATGATGTACCTTTACTAGTAAACATGGTCTGCTAATAATCTAATTTGGTTGAGTCAAATAGTCTGCTTCTAACATGATATTATGTAAACATTTCTCAAGAGAAAATAACACTACACAAACATCCATGATATTCTGTCAATGTGTGAATGTCTGTATGTTAAATACGTCTATTACTGTACAAAAGATTCATAGCTATTGTATAAGTCACCAATAACAGCCTTGGAGACTGGAGCTACAATAAACGCCAGATGTTAAAACAGAATGGTACATAGGTATCATTTGGCATCTGCTACAGTGATATTTACCATATTCTTCCAACTTCTGAAGAAGTGCTTTCTGGGATTTCTTTGCAGCCATTTCTCTGAAACAGTGGTTCAAGAATAGTTGTAACAAGGTTATTATATTGAATTTATTGGATTATCACAATTTGTATTCTAATGAAACCAACAAGGAACACCACACATGATTATTATGTCGTGATGATCAAGTGGTGCTGGAAGTTTCATTGTGATCGAAAACTGAACGAAACTGAGAATTAGAAAAATCAACGTATGGTAAGTGAAATATTTGCATAACGTACCATTGAAAAGTAAGTGAATATTTACTGTATTTGTTCACATAAATGTTTAACAAAATACGAAATTAATTATATATTATAAGCAAATAATTTCCAAACAAAGCGTCATGCATGCCTTATGGGCGCAGACATTTTAGAAATAGTGCCACCTATTTGCAAGGGGAAATCACTCTATTATCTCATGGATGTCCAGCATGGGATTCACTCGTCAACATCGAAACCGTTCAAGCATTATCTCATGCAACTGATGTCTGTCTTCATATATAAAAGGTAACCAATAACGATGTTCATGAAATGTATTTGTAAAATATATTCAAACCGTTTCTTTCGTAATCAGGTTGACTACATGAGTAGCCACTAGTTAATGAAACAAGACTATGAATCCTCCACCCGGATAATCCTTGAGAAGCATTTTAGAAGTTGTAGAGATGGAGGAAAACCAAGTTCTATGGATAGTCAACTTCTTTATTGCAATGAGTGCGACGTTTCGGCGTAGATACTAACACCGTTATCAAGCAAGTGATACAACAATTTGAAACAGGGAGAATAGGATGAGAAAGCCACAATAACTCGGTGCGCCTAGTGGCTGCAAGAGTTGTATACTCCCCAGGGAGTTGAGATTGATAATGCGATGTGCCGTTGAGATTGACATCCAATGATCGAGGGAAAAAATACCAGCGCCTTGAGCATGCACTGGTGCGCTATATAAATATCCTATAATAATATAATAAAAATATATTCATTGCTGCATAGTGAGTATATACAATATTGACATGGTTGGTGTACATTAGTTCAGCCAGCTAAACGTCTTAGCTGGCTGAACTAGGTGTACATTGGATATCTAATTAGTCATTTGAGCAGAGTAGGTTGATGTACAGAGTGATTGGTTGTGATTAGAGTTGAGTTTATACAATTGATGAGTTTTATGTATAATGAGATGATGATAAGTAAGGCTGAAGGGGTCGTTGTCGGCACAGGTACTACAGATAAGTACCCCAGGTACGTTTCTGTATACAGATATGTACCCTAAACAAAGTCAAAAACGTACCCGGTACCCTAAAAGGCGGACGAGTCCATATTCCGCAATCCTAAACCGAAACCGCATGTAGTTGTTCCCGTTCAACTGATTTTCGCGAGTGGTATCCATATGCATCGCGAAATAGCCGTTACTGTGTATTCTCATTACTTACATAAAGCAATCAAATGTATCTAATACAACAGCATGACAGTTCTGATCAAGAATATGACACAATGGGAATGGAATCGTCTTAGGGTACGTTTCTGTATTCTCATTATGGCCAGGGTACATATCTGTAGTACCCGTGCCAACAACGACACCCTTCAGCATAAGTAAGTAGGTTGAAGTATACAGTAGTTGTGATTGTGTCGAAGCCAAATGGACAAGGGAGGTATGGTACTGGCGGTCGTTTTGATTAGGTCGGATGTAATGTAATGTTTTTATCGGAAAATTTGGCAGATGTATACATATTATAGCTAAAACGGCATGAAATAGTACATGTGGCATTTGCCGTTGTATCTTGTTATTTCTACTTTACAGGTGACAGCCTCCCTTCCATGATGAAGTTTGACTGGGGTCCGTCTTTGTTCCGACGTCTAAATGGTGTTTTCTGTATCTACAAGCCGACGGGTCCTCCAGTGCATAAGGTCCTCGAGATCATACGAGGCAATCTCACCAGAGGTAATCACTGGCTTTGACATTCATCAGGTTATAATTCCAAATGGAAGGTTCGAAATCATTATGTCGTTATATAAAGTTGCAGTGTTTGAAGACTGTCTCATAAAACTGAGAGGTGAACACCTTTCTTTCACACATTCATTGGTTCATTAGAATTTGGACATATGATGAAGTTAAATATACTGTCATATTTTGTCTGAACGCTTGCCAGTCAATAAATCCCCTTGCTGAGTGGGAATGTTCACCCATCAGACCCGTCCAGTTGTTTTGAGCAGACTGATTCTGTTTCCAGACATCAATGCTCTGCCGTGTTACAAGTACGAGCGGAGGATGCAGCGAGCGGAGGCCAACACAGAAGAGAAGCTGCCGTCCCTGTCATCACTCCCAGTAGATGCAGAAAACCAGGCTCAGCACAGGCTCAGTATGTGGCGTTGCTTTTATTTGTTTGTCCAGACAATCAAGAGATTTACAAATTACATCATGAGCATTTGTGTATGCAGTTATACGATGACAGGAAAGGGCCAACACCCTTTCACTGAAAGCTATCTACATCTGAGTATTTATATGAAGATGGCTATCAGTGCATTTGTGTATAGCTAAACTACATGGGATCATGATAACAAGAAATTTGTGGGGCCAATATTGGACCGCTCAACATGAAAGCTATCAGTTCTAGTGGGTGTGTCTGAGTCATTCGACATTTGGACTTATTTCCACACAAGGTCCCTTTAGTGGTGTGTTGCCTTGCTTTGCTAACCATAACAATTGCACTATTGTTGTTGGTCCAAAACCGAACACTGAAAACCAGTTCTAACCTTGATTGTCATCAGGGGTGATGACAATAAGTCATTAAACAAGGTCCCTAGTGTAGCTTGTGAAACAGTGACATTGTCATCAGGGTGGAAAAACTTTCACTTGCCCTGATAATTTTTCCACTATACGGACGTTTTTGTTGAATTTTTAAATAAACAACATAATTCACATTGAAAAGTCAACTAGACACCGGTACAGTGTGATATACAAATTAGCTTGCCTGACAGTAAAAAACACTGGACTCGGACGTCAGGCAATGGGTTATTTCCACCCATAGTCATGGGTGTGCAATTTTCCAGAAATGTGTGTGATAGTAATTACTGCTAACACCACATTAGAAGTTATTAGCATCTGTGTTTGAGCATAAGTCTGTGACAGTGGGGTAGCCTCCTGTTTAAAGCATTCATTTGTCACACCTAAGAGTGAGTTAGTTGAGTTTTATGCCGCACTCAGCAATATTCCAGCTATAAGGCGACTCACACCTAAGACCTGGCCTCAATACCTGATGTAGGTAAAATATGTGAAGCCCAATTCTGATGTCCCCCATCATGTTGTTGCTGGACTGTTTCTAAAAGCAGCATTAAAGTAAAACCATACTCACCCTGTGTTTTCAGTTTTTGATTGTTCAGTAAGAAGGCCAACTTATGGCATTTTGCAGGTTCATAATGAAGAACTTTTGATAAAATTGATCACAGTTAATGAAAGTGTTCATTTAGTTAACTTTATTAAGTTTTATTTAACTTATGTAAATATTCAAGATAACGTGAGAGACTTTCTTAAAGATGTTTTCTGCTTTTGTAGCAGTGAGCATACTTTTGACAAAGCTGTTTTTCTGAAGAGATTTTTAGGGCTGAAGATGTATACTGCGGTGTATTCATACCACAGTATTTTGTTTTCGGTTTGGTACACCGAAGTTCACTTTAAGAAAATACGGTACGTTCGGTTTGCGTACAAATTATATTTATCACCTTATGCACATTACTTTCGGAATGTCATCACAAATTTTCCATGTAATTTAATTCTAGATGACATCTTCATGTAGCTACCGTTTCTGACATTTCTGTGCCAAAGTGCTGTTGTCAACAACTCATGCTGATTTGATTGGATGAACAAGTTCGTGTAAAAGCACATTGGTTTGGGTCCCAATGCGAAGAAGATTTCTTCTCGGAACTTTAACTTTTATTGTTAATGAACTGAACAAAAAGGTACCAAACCGAGAGCCGTGTACTGCAATAAGTACTGAACTGTGGCATGGGCGTACCGTTGCACCTCTAGAGATTTGTGAGCTGTAAGACTAACAGGAAAAATATGGAGCTTTTTCTGAGCAAGCTTTTTGTTATTTTGTCCATACACCCAAATTAGACATTTGATTTTGTGTTAGTTTCTATTTGCCCATATTTCATCTTTCACCTAGTTCCCCACTGTACACATGTTGATGACTTCTCTGAGGAAGTGTCGCTTCTGTTTCTCCAGCCCTGGGGCCTAGATACGTCCCCGAGGACTTCATACTGGAACCTCTCCATGGCCTCTCTCGACATGCTGCAGGTGTTTTAGGTAGGTTTACCGTAGTGATGATGTCACAGATGATGTCATTGATTATGTCACAGGTGTTAATTATGATGTCATTGGTTTTGTCACTGGTGATGTCATTGGTTATGTCACTGATGATGTCATTGGTTATGTCACTGGTGATGTCACAGATGATGTCATCGGTGATGTCACTGACGATGTCAATAGTTGGTGTTACTGTTAGTCAAGAAAATAGTCCTTCAAATGTGCTTGGTGTCTTTCCTTGCAATGTTTTTATAGGAGTTTACCCTAGTCAGATACTAGTGTAGCTACTGTTATCTTGTAGACTTGTAATAATCTCCATACTTCAACTGGACCTGACATGTCTCCACAGTCTGTTTTAATAAACTTTTAGAAAACCAATAACATGATGGTAATCGATAAGTTGTTGATGCAGCAAGACTTGCAATTATTGATCGCCAGTCTTTTTATTCATATGGAGTTTTCAGTAGAGAATCTACAATCTTGCTGCTTGTTGGATAGATGGGTGTGTAATTCCCTTTAACATCTGAATCAGGGCTCCAGATAACTTTTGGGGGTGTGAGTGTACTTACACATCATATTGCAAGTGGAGGTGTACTGAGAATTTTGAAGGAGTACTGACATGTTTTTGAGTGAGCGAGTTGGTGATGTGGTTTGTCTGGACTATTCATCGATCACTATTTCCAACCATGTATTTGTATTTGAAGTCACGTGAGAAATAACTGAGCAACGGTGTGATACGCGAAATGTCAGGTCCGACTGGATATAAATAGCAACAGTGTAGTTTTTAGCCAATCGAAAATAGTGACACATATCATTGCATGGCAACGCAAGTGATTCCTACTGTCGGGGTTTCTTCATGTGTCAAATCGTGTTTCTCAAAAGAAACTTGACAAATATTTATCCGAAATATATTTCCATTTGCACGATACGCACGGAAATTAAATGTTAGACGTACAAAGGTATTTATGTGCGTACACGATACGCTTGAAATCTTATATTATGTCGTACTTAATTGATTTTGAGGCGTACATTACGCCTGTACGCCCCTTATCTGTAGCCCTGTGAATATGAACTGTTTTATTGTGGGATATTTCAGTGATTGGTCTTGGACGAGGCTGTGAATATCTGGAACACATCGCCCTTGCGAGGTACCTCAGAGTAAGTTCACATGGTTGTACCCCATCATATGGGAATTCTCTAGTGCTAGAGTACTGTCTAATACATCTGTTATCATGGTTAAACATGCTGACTCAGCTCCCCGAAAAGTAGATCGTGATGACAGCCATATTTTATTGATCACTCAAACTATCGTAAGATGACTGAACAAAACTTTGTGTCTGGTGTATCAGGCACTAAGATACTTACAAATACGGTTTGGGCAGAATCATAACAATATTTGGATGTTAACATGTGTCAGAAATTTTATTCAAAAGTAACCAATCATTTCTGGTGATTTGGTGCAGTCATCACATATGCAAGCAATTAATAATCGAATAATAATCACTTCTTTGAAGCCACAGTCATAGGTTTCTGGCTTGCCCAAGTAACACAACTCTTCACAACATATCTTTATTTCTTGGATTAACTTGCCATCAATGCTTCCACATAAGATGGGGTTGACACATGTCATCGGTTCCCAATTGCGTAGTTTGATGCTCATGATGTTGATCACTGCATTGTCTGACTCAATTATTTACAGACCGCCGCCATACAGCTGGAATATTGCTGAGTGTGACGTAAAACTAAACTCACTCACTCCACATAAGATGGGGGTGGTAGGGAAGTCTAATGGTTAAAGCGTTCGCTTGTCACCCTCAGGACTCTGTGTGAAGCCCATTTCTGGTGTCCCCCGCCGCTAAAAGGGGCGTAAAACTATACTCACTCCCACATAATATATGATAAAGAAACACAGATCAATACTGTTAGATACTTTGCAATAACATAGCTACAACTATACACGCTCCCTTTGCTTTGATTTACCTCTCCAATACAAATGCCTTGTGATCCATTGCTCCTGTGTCCTTGCCCAAGGGCAGGTAACTCTCAAGACCAAATAGATGACTACTGTATCCATGTTTGTTTACCTTGTTTGTTTCCAGGTGTACCATGTGAGGGGGAGGTTTGGCTGGGCCACAGAAAATTACAGCCCTAAGGGGAAAGTCCTTGAGAGAACTTCTTTCCGTAAGTTACAAGGGCAGATAACTCTTATCTCTATAGCCTTCACATTTGTCGTAGATGGTGTGGAAAATGGGAAATATAGATCTTAGGCATCTAGGAGTCCACTGAGGTGTCACAATCTATGACCCGGGTGACTAAATGTGTTTCGGGTCATGGCTGTGTGAGGGCAGTGGGGTAGCCTATTGGTTAAGGTGTTCGCTCGTCACGCCAAAGACCCTGGTTCGATGCCCCACATAGGCACAATGTGTGAAGCCCATTTCTGGTGCCCCCCACCGTGACATTGCTGGAATATTGCTAAAAGCGGCATAAAACTACACTCACTCACTCGCTTGCCTGCTCACTCACTCACTCATTCATAGCTGTGTGTAACCACAGGACATGTTGTGTTGGATGCAAATGTCTGAACCCCTGATTCGGATCTGGATTCGGAGATAGTTCAAGTCTGTAGATTCTTATTTGATCCTTTTCATTTGACTGTAATAGTAATCAATAGGGGTGGGTATTGCAGAGAATTTTCATATTGCGATATATTGCGATGCGAAAGCATGTATTGCGATATGTATTGCAATATATTGCATGAAGTATTTTTAAACAAAAAAGCTACTTATAATCGAGTTAATGCTTGATTTATAGAGCAAAAACACAGCAAAATCACTATGCTTGATTAAGCTTTAATAACAACTTTTCATCATGATAAAATAGAAATGTGAATAATGTTTGGCACAAATGAAACAAGGAAATATCCGAAGATTTCTGAGTGTTACGAAGTTTTCCGAATGCAAGTCAAAATACCGGTTTTTGATCAGCGTATCGCAATACGTATCGTTTTCATGTCTGAACCGGTAAATACCGGTAAACCGGTTATATTGCCGCAGCCCTAGTAATAAAGTGTCTATTCATTGATTGTCTCAGACAACATCACCAAGCCGAAGTTGGACAAAGTGTGTGCTGCAGCCCAGGCTAACCATACCAAGTATATGTTTGAGTAAGTACAACAGTGTTGCCATGACTACCAGCCTGCTCCTGTCAGTCCTGTCTGATCATGTGACGCAAACTGTCATCGTCTTTGAGGCTGTGGGAAGATAGCTGGCAGGTGTAAATCTGTCAGTGTGAATCAGCATAATTGATCTTCAGTAACCCATGCTTGTCGTAGGAGGCGTTGACTAACGGGAATGGGTGGTCGGTCTCTCTGCCTTGGTTGACACATGGCATTGTATCCCATTTGCGCAGATCGATGGTTATGTTTTTGATCACTGGATTGTCTGGTCCTTGATCATTTACAGACCGCCACCATATAGCTGGAATATTGCTGAGTGTTGGATTAAACAACAGACATATATACATAACATCCATTTGTCTCATTTAATTGGATTCAGGAGATAAATCTCTGTGTTTTCAATGTTATGGTTTTGAGCAGAAATTTGACACCAGTAATCATGATGATTTCAATTTCTGAACAGATACACTTTTAATCAAATTATTAAAAGCTTGTCTGTGTTTGAATATAAAGAGGGTGGTTCATGGGGTCTAATTTTTCCTCCTTCAATATTTGTAGTTTTTTGTATACATTTCTCTTTGAAATATACATTGTATTGGATTTTTCATACGGGAAAGAATTTTGTATCATTATTGTTTTAATTACCATGGTAACCTGAGGTCTAACATGGCTGTCATTGTTTATCAGCTATGCTGGTGTTCGGCCAGACAGTCAGGAAGCCTACATGCTTGCTGCCTCTGGACTGGTGCGTCCGGAGAATGGGAAGACGCCCCCCATTCTATATGGTGTGAAGTGTATCGAGTTCAACCCTCCGGACTTCACACTGGGTAAGGAAAGAACGTAGTATTTGTTCGTCAATGTTTGTAGTGTGTGAGACTTTCTACTTGAAACATATGACTTTGGTGTTGAGTGTGGTTGTCTGGCTGCAGGCAGATAAGTTCTGAACAATACGGAAGGATTTTGTTGTGTCACTCTCATTGAATGTACTGCTGATTACTGGTGGGAGATTGGATAATGTACATTAGTTGTTTCTGTTTGTCAAACTTCCATCAGATCACCCCGGAGTGATACTTCAGGCCCCGATTTCTCGAAACAAACTTAAGTCTGAGTTTTGACTTAAGTTAGAGTTTTTACTCAAATTTGAGAAAATGCATTTCCCAGATTGAACTAAAATCGATATCAAACTGAAACATAGTAGACAATTTGAGTTTGGAGGATAGATTACTTACGTTGTATGGGCTTTTCTATTTTAAAAATGCAGTTGAGTTAAAAATTCAGATGTTTCAAATTGTCAAACTCAGTTTGAAATTTGAGTAAAAACTTAAGTTTGTTTCGAGAAATCGGGGCCAGGTGAGTTGTATCATGTCCCCCTGGGCTTTTGAGTGAAATACTTGAGGTGAGATGAGCCAAATTCCCCAACCTCGACATATTTCACCTGAAGTAATTTGCTCTAGATGCCATTTGGGGAATTTTACACATCTCACCTGAGATCCCCATTGGGACCTGGAGGAAATTACTTCAGGTGAGATGTGTCAGATCCCCAAACTCCATTTTGGTCTGGAGCAAATTACTTCAGGTGAGATGTGTCAGATCCCAAAACCCCATTGGGATCTGGAGCAAATTACTTCAGGTGAAATATGTCAAATACGTATACACCATTTGGATTCTGTGTGAATGACTTGACCAAGTGTGCCACAAATACCTCTACCCTAGGTTGCCTTGCCTGATTTGTTGTAAGAGCTGATTAAAGTTCAGGATTTGTTGCTTCGGGACGCATCTGAATGCATGGGACCGACATGGCATCGATCTTCTGGTCCTGATCACTGATGGTTAAAACATTCACTCACCTACAATCTCTCTTTGTTGTGAGAGGGTATAATCAGTAATTTGTTTGCTGCTTGTACAATCGACCATTGATCTCATTAGACGTTCCTGTATCACCTTCAGTCAGGCTAGATGAGAGCAGTCACTGTATTATGTCTCCTATTCATTTGATCAGTTGTATTTTGATGATTATTTTATAAATTACCTTTCTCTCCCAATGTTACTGTTTCAGAGATCCATGCAATCAATGAGAAATGCACATATTTGATGAACTTGATCGGCGACATTGGGTTGAGCCTCAAATCGACGGCAGTATGCACGCACATCCGGCGTGTCCGCTACGGCCATTTTGAGTTGCAGCATGCACTGCTACGGAAGCAGTGGACAGCCGAACACATCCTTGACAACCTCAGATCCTGCAGGAGTCTATTGTCAGTTGATAAGTTAGCCACAAGTGAGACTGTCCACCATCTTGATCAAGATGGCCGACGCCACAGGCAGTTAGGAAGTGGAAGAGAGGGACTCCCAAGGGACACACTGAAGGGAGGGAACAGAAAAATGTTGTCTAGTTGAGTTACGTGTGCGTGATGTTGACTTGTGTGTGAAAGTTGTTAAAATCAAAGGGAGGTAATCATGATCAATCTAATTTTCTGAGACCACATCAGGAAAACTGAAGGATCATCAATTGCATGTTGTGTGCTGCCTTCCTTGATTCAGGAAGATGATGACAGATCAGTCATAACTACTTGTGTCATTCCGGCAAGCTGGATGGCGACTACCCCTCAAGTGGCCATGTTCACCACTGGGCCTTGTATAAAGGCAAACAGGCACAGAGATTAAAATAGTCTAGGACTATTTCCAAGGAAAGATAACTCTGAATTTCCAAACATGGCTACTTCTAGGAAACAACAATTTAGCGCCTGTTAATGTATTACCAAGTCACTTTAAGTGTGTAACAAGTAACAAAATAATTTTATGATCACAGAAATAATAATGAAAACTGTTGATCGCAAAGAAACTATTTGACCTAATTTCACATTTTACTACACACGATTTGATTGGTTTACCACGAATTTTGGCAATAATACAGGTACGAGTCTTCTTGTAGGTCACGGAAAGGGGGTGTAGTTACGAATCGATGACATATATGTTATTCTTATCCAACTCAGCTGCTCACTCCCGGACAGTTGATAAGTGACTTGACTGTGCTCTGTCGTCCTACCCAGAAGACATGGGTCACTGCTGATGATATCAACCACTAGCACAACACTGAGAAGCAAAACTATGTGTGTTTCAAGATTTGCAGGCAAATGGAAACACTGTGTGTTTTTGAGTATTGAAAGTTATGGAAGGAATTTGTAGGCTTTGAAATAAATGTTAGCTAAATGTGTGTGAGGTATTGTCTTCAATCAATTGCATGATTGAGTTTAGTTTTCACTCAGCAATATTCCAGCTATATGGCGGCAGTCTGGACCATGACTTGTGTCAACCAAGTCAGAGAGAATGACCAATCCGGTTAGTCGCCTCTTATGTGTGGGTTACTTAAGATCAATTTTAACCTGGATCTTCACAGGTCCAATCGTTTGCCAGATCTTGACCAAGACATTGGCACAGGTGAGTGAGTGAGTTTTTTTGGTTTAACACCTGCAGTGAGAGGAAAGCCCCGGAGTGATCCAGATGTAAGAGGTTTACCACTTTGATGAAACACAGAAGCACACATATGGTGCTAACAGACCTAAACACTTCACCACAGCAAATGGGATTCGAACCTCTGATAAGGCATCCATTCAAACTTTACCCAGCTGGCAGAGACTGAATGGTATTTATGCACTAGGTCTAAGTTCTGGGTCTGGAGAAAACAGTGACTGCCGCAAAGTATCCTCAAACTTGCTGTCCAATGATAAAGGCTGTCAGTTCTCAAGTCACAGACTATGATACAAGTACTTCTATGAGGGGCGGTGGGGTAGCCTAGTGGGTAAAGCGCTCGTCATGCCGAAGACCCGGGTTCGATTCCCCACATGGGTCCAATGTGTGAAGCCCATTTCTTGTGTCCCCCACCGTGATTTTGCTGGAATATTGCTAAAAGCGGCGAGTAAAACTAAACTCACTCACTCACTTCTATGAGGGTGGGGTAACCTAGTGTATAAAGCATTGCTGAATGCCTGGATACAGTTCCCCACTTGGATACAATGTGTGGAGCTCATTTCTGGTGTCATTTCATCAGCTTCTGTCAACTTGGACAACTGTTACACCAATATTACATGTCTTCAATTGAGTGAGTGAGTTTAGTTTTACGTTGCACTCGGCAATATCCCAGCAATAAGGCAGCGGTATGTAAATAATCGAGTCTGAACCAGACAATCCAGTGATCAACAGCATGAGCATCGATCTACGCTAATGGGATACGATGACATGTGTCAACCAAGTCAGCGAGCCTGACCATCCAATCCCGTCAGTCGCCTCTGACGACAAGCATGGGTTGCTGAAGACCAAATTCTAACCCGGGTATTTCGGTTACAGAATTCCAGGAATGATCCACGTCGACATGGCTATCCAATCCCCAAAAGGGAAAACATGCTCATATTCATGTCATCTTGATGTTTGGCTGTCTGACCATTTCTATCATTAGGTTTTACAATGAATAAAAAGACCTGAGTTGACAATGAAATAGGATCAGTGGTAGAAATCAAATACATTGTCCATCAAATGCATATATTATGGTATTTTTCACTTTCTGTTTTCACGCACTTCAAAGAAGGGGGAGAAAAGACTTCTCAAGAAGTAGTATTATTATCCGTAAATTAATTGAGAAAACCTCTTTGACACAAGTTGTCCATCAGCGGACGTGTTCAAAACAGTTACTTCAATTCGTAGGTCTCTTCTTGAGCTACTGACTGACTGACTGAGTTTTGGTTTTACGCCGCTTTAAGCAATATTCCAGCAACATCACGGCAGGGGACACCAGAAATGGGCTTCACACATTGTACCCATGTGGGGATTCGAACCCGGGTCTTCGGCGTGACGAGCCAACGCTTTAACCACTAGGCTACCCCACCGCCCCTCTTGAGCTACGTGAAAATAAAAAAACCAAGGACGTGGGGAAAGTGACAACACATACCTAGTAAGTACAGACAACGTTATAAAAATTGTGTCAAATGATTATGTTTACGCACACCCTTCTACTGGACGTAAGTGGGGGATCATTAAATATAAGTGAGTGAATATAGTTTTAATCCGCTTTTAGCAATATTTCAGCAGTATCGCGTGTGTGAAATACATGTAGTTTCCAAATTTTGCTAGCCAGTTGTGCTAGTTATGCCAGGACGTTACTAGCCCACAAAATAATTCACTAGCCCGAATTTGAATGAATACACGGATTTCATCAATAAGTTGCTAATATGATGAACATTTTATCAGGCCATAATCTTGCACGATTTAAAAGTGTGTTAACGTAACAAGTCAGATAGAGTGATATATGACCCCATGAAATTTCACTTTTAGACGTCAGTCGGGCACGACGTGGATTTTACTCACCTCACCTCACCATGGGCTAGCGAAGTGACAGTGGCTTTACTCGCGACTGGATTTTTACTAGCCATGGGCTCGGGGACACCAGAAATGGGCTTCTGACATTGTAGCCAATGGGCCAATCGACGGCATGACGAGCGAAAGCTTTAAGCACAAGCCCTATCCACCGCCCCTCATAAAATATACAAGTTAATCAAAAATATTAGAAGAAAGATATTATAAAGATAAATGTTGACAACAAACATCGTTTGCAAGAAAGGTTTTTGTCTCCAAAACACAGTAGCTCCACATACGTCATCAATGATTTTAACTCTTTCAAAGAGGATCTATGTGCACCGATAATTCTGTCAATCTTATTTAAATTTTATTTATCGTATGGTTGTGATTTACATGATTTCATTCGCTGTATGAACTAGAGACGATGCGTCTGCAAATCGATAAGTATTTAAACGTTGAAATGTTGTACACTGGTAAGGGATCGATCCTAAGTCACTACGTGGGTGGGAGGAGAAATTTTTATTATTTATTTATTTTTATATATTTTTTTATTTTTTAATTTTTTTAAATTATTATTTTTTTAATTTATTATTTATTTTTTTTTTTTTTTTTTTTTTTTTGGGGCACCCAATGTGTTCTTTGGAGGTAGGGGTCATCAGTTTTGAACATATGTACGAGGGGGTGGGGGTCATTAATTTATACCTTAGATGCAGGGGAAGGGGTGTCACTTACTTTGTACATATCAATTTTAGAGTGGGTCATTCACATTGAACATGCTTCTCTATACATATCATCATCACCCCCAGCCATGAATTATGAACGGTCCCATTTCATCACTAGACACGTGTCATGTTTTCAAATAAGCGTGTGCTCTTCCTTGATTGGCGTGTCTGGTGACGTCGAAATGAAGGTCAAGCCATTATCAACGTGACGTTGACTGGCAATGAACCAAGACCTTATTACGCACCACAGACCCAAACCTTGTCCCATCTTAAACCTATCGTCCTAGGCCTTCGAGATCGTAGGCGGTCATAACATCCACAGTCATTCTTCTTTACCAGTTGTAATGTGTTCCATATTGCTTCGTTGTTAGGGACCGTTCATAATTTATGGTAAGGGGTGATGATGATTTTTATACAGAAACATGTACAATGTGAATGACCCCCCTAAAATTTACGCACAAAGTAAGTAACACCCCCCCTCATATCATGTGCAAACTCAATTACCCCTCCCCTTCCCATAATTTTTAAGCAAAACTTTTTTAAATATCTATATGTACAAAATTGTTGACACCCCCTAGTACATGTGTACAAAATTGATGACCCCCCTACCTCCCAGAACAAAATGGGTGACACCCATGCGAATATTCCCTGCTTTTTCAAAAGCATATTGTAACCCCCTGCAGTCGACGTACAGCGCCCTAACCCTGACCCCGTTCTGTGTCTACACAATGTGATGTATGGTCACGTGTGTCACGTTTTGCTGTCAACAAATAGTCAGTGGAGAGTTGACACTGCGCCATAAGGTGAGTACCCAAGGCGTCTCTTGTCAGTGTTGATACAGGTATACCAGTGCCAGTTAACTCCAGCTGTTGCCACGCAACACATTGCTTCTCTCCAGCATGATCATACCATATCTTGTGTCAAATTAACTTTGTGAATAACTAAAACTGTGAAACATTTAAAACTTCGATACCTGATATTCTGAGCGCAAAACTGTTTACCCAGATTATATTTCTAGGTTTATCAGTTCCGTACTCGTGTACACACACAACACACACACTTTCAAGGGCCACTTGTACCTTTCCATGGCCGTACGTATCACCTGACATTGTTCAGATTTGCGTTGAAATTAAAATCTTCGTTTTGGACCGTTCATAATTTATGGCCAGGGGGTAATGATGATATTTATGGAGACGCATGTACAGTGTGAATGCCCCGTGAAAGTCCGGGTTAGAGTGTACCTTCACTAGCCCATGGTTGTCGTTTGAGGCGACTAACGGGATCGGGTGGTTAGGCTCTCTGACTTGGTTGACACATGTCATCGGTTCCCAATTGCGCAAATCGATGCTCGTGCTGTTGATCACTGCATTGTCTGGTCCAGACTCGGTTATTTACAGACCGCCGCCATATAGCTGGAAAATTGTTGAGTGCGGCGTAAAACTAAATTCACTCACTGACTCTCTCTCGAGGTGATGTAGCATATAGCTAGTAGGCTTGGAAAGTGTGCAATGTGGAGTAATTAGTATTGATGATGCCGTTAAACATATAATATGGTCATATAAATGCAGGAATTTTAGATTGGTGGTACGTCATGTTTCCGGAGCATAACTCATAACCCATCAACATTTCTTCATGTAACCTGGTATACACATCAGACATACGGATGTTGATATTGCTGGAACATTGCTAAAAGCGGCGTAAAATCATAATCACTCAGACATACAGTAAGCTGGTGCATGCATACATATAAGTGTTCACAAATGCGTATACAGATAAGCATTGCCATGTTCATATTGCATAACATGTACAATGTAATACATTCAACACATGAGAAGTTCGATTCACAAACCGCTCGTAGCATTATGTCATTCGTAAGCCGATAATATATATGGAGTTACGATATGTCGTAACGTTACGAACGCTTTGTGGACCGGGACCCAGATCTGGATTAATAAGGATTAATAATGAGACAGGACTTAAGAAATACCAAATGGGAACCTTGCCAGTGAGTGGTGCATCCACTAATCATACCAATGCATTCCTAAACTGATCATCAAATTTATGACGAAAATTACACAGGTGTAGGGATATACCATGAAATATGGATTGCAACAAGGGATTAATCATTGTTGTATAATGCTGT